CAACGAATATCTTGAATGTCTCGGTGCAGTTTAATATCTTAAATACCTCGGTGAGGTCTGTTTAAATTTAAAGTTTAAATAAAATAAAGTGTTCAGTAATCGAAGCTCTGCCAGTTTCCGCTCTTCCAGTTTGGAAATTTATTAATCAATTATTTAATTGTTATTTATTATTTCTTTTTAATTTCCATATACTTTAATTTCCATATACTTCAATATTTGATAAAATTCGAACAGAGTGTTGATTACTGAATGTTCTACTCTACCTTGGTAGAACAAGATTTATATCACATCAATTTTATAAGAAAATGTATTTATAAAAGGATATCCATCTCCTTCCAAAGAGCGACTCAATATCAGATAGTTTCTTCCCCTGCGTGTGTGTGGGGGGAGAAGATAAAAAGAATTTAACAAAACGTTCATAAGGTATTGGGAACAAATCCACAGAAAATCGGGCTTCAAACCGAAAACTAAAACCAAATCTAAAATTTCTCTAAACTGCGAAAGCCTGAAATCTCAACGTTTTCAATGTCCACTTCAAGGGATCTACATGTCAGCGTAAACGACCGTGCCGAAAACGGACATGGCCCGCTACCTGCATCCTTGCCAGCTCCGATGTTTGCTGCAGGCCGCGCGTCGTTTTTACCCCCGGTGGTCGCGTCTCGATATCTCGAGGTCCCGTCGGACACTTGGTTTTACTCGTTACCGCGACACCGCATCCACGTTGCAGTGCTAACGTAACAATAGCGGACAATAGCGCAGGAGCCGTAGGAAGAGCTAGACCGCGCGCGCGCGCGCGGTGAGCAAAGCGAGGACGCGCCTTTGTTAGAGTTCAATTGTTCCCTCTTTGTCCCGGACATTGTTTCCGGTAACTCTTTCGCAGTAACGAGGAAGAAGCTCAATTAGAACGGTTTGAGGACTTAAACGCCCAGAGGCTGCCGGGGGTTTAAGAGGCCCCGCGGATGCAACGCCGACACCGACGCCGCGGAACATTGTTATGCGCGAGGGTGCACAAGGCGATTCTCTTTTAATTGCGCCAGTGCCGGCGCGGCTGTTGATCGCGCATCGCTTTCGTCGAAAATCACAATCATGCCATATTCAAGGGATGTTCCAGTGATAACTCGAAGCTGAGGACCAGCGTAAATTTGTGGACCGACAAAACTTTGCCGCTCGGCTTGTGAAAGTCGCGTCCTTTACGAGCGATTCATGCGTATTCGTATTTTTTTACGTAGAGTAGAATTTTCGTCTCGTGTCCTTTCGAACAGTTACACGAACTGACGCGTTTCTCCTCCGTATTCATTCACCGATTGTCCGGACTTCCGCCAAGCCACGGAATAATAATCCGTGGAAATTAGCGCGCTAATATCAACGTGCTAATATCTAATTAGAAGGATCCTCCGTACCGGATAACTCCCTGTTTGGCGCGGGCTTATATCCTGTTCCATAGGACACAAAGAAAGTATCGCGAGCTCCTGCGCAGGCGTTGGCTGCTGTTCGACGGCCGTTTCACAGCAGCTTACCCCTCCTGTTATCCTGTCGGCGTTTCAGGCAGCGTTTCTATCTTTTCCGGCTAGACATCTTCTCCGTCGGCGGAGCGTGGGAGGTTGTATTATTGATCAGTGCGTCTCGCGTACGTACGCATATGTGATATGCCGTCGTACCTGCGCGCGAGAAATGCTACCAGGATATCCGAAACTTTCTATCCTCCCTTTGTAGCCTGGCCGACGAATTGTCGCGTCACGGTCATCGTCCTCGCCCAGCGAGGGACGCGCGCGATCTACGGAAGGGTACGAAATAATAGAAACACGGAGCGGCCCGCGGCAAACTCCGCCGCGTGGATGGTGTCCTGGTGGAAAAACAAGGCCGTGCTTTGAAGCACAAATTGAGATAAATCCTGTTACTGCTGCAATTAGCAGCCACCGCAGCCAAACAGCCCGCTCGTTTGAAGTCGCGAGCGACCTGAATCCGCGACCGCGCTGTTCCCCGGCGAAGTTAGCGACGATCCGACTTTCCCGTCCGAGATTTATTCGCGTCGTCTCCTCGATGCAAACAGCCGAACGCGCATTTCCTTATGCGTGTCCTTATGCGTGTCCTTATCCGAGATTTTTTTCAGCGTCTCGACTCTCGTCCCGTCCGCTCCACCTTGTTATTCCAATAAGAAATCCTTCGCGGCCTTCGCTCGCAGAGGAAACCGGTCGGTTAAATCGACGTGAGGATGAACGACGAATTCTTATGAGATTCGGTCGCGGGAACCAGAAATTCCGCTTCCTCCCAACGAAACGCTCATTATCGTGTTAATTCGACCGATCTTGCCGGTTCCGAAGACTGAAGATTTTTCCTTTTTATAGGCCAATTCTCGGTTGTGTGAATCAGGAATCAATCCTGTTCCCTTCAACGCGCTCGATTTTCCCACTGCCGCGTTAATTTCTAACAGTTTCTTTCTACCGTTGAGGATTCTCCGAGTCTGGGATTGAAGATTTCTGGCTCTCACGGAGGCGAGTTCAGTCTTAAGAGCCAGAAATTCTATTTTCTCCGCTCGTTCACCGTCGCATGAACTTTGCCAATTATTTTCCGATCCCGAGGATTTTTTTTTTATTCCGAGGATTAAACGGACCTCCGGCTCTCTTACGCGCCAACTTCGTAAAACATCCGGTTCGTTCACCACCGCGATAATTCGACCGCGATCCTTTCGCCTCGCATATTCCTCCGGAGTCCCGGACTTTAATCGCGCGCTTATAAGTGCATTAATATACCGACATCGGCATTAATTGCACACGTAATTACGCGGAGGCATAATCCCCCGGGCTAATTAGGGTATAAGCCCGCGCAGCAGTTACGGAGCTACGGTGACGGCGTGTCGTGGTGTGCGCGGTAAACACACGATACACAGCCGGCGCGCGGTTGTGCGGGTGTGTTGGTGAGAGCGTGCGTCACCGATACAGTCGCGCGTGTTGCAGCGATATTGGAAATATGCTCGAATATTTGGATATTTTTTCGGGCTCGACTGCGTGCCGTTTCATGATCGCCTGTGATCGGCGCCTGAAATTAAGATGCACGGAAGACGGATTACGGCCGAAAGAGGAAAAAGTGCAGCATGACGGAGCTGTCTGTCTTATCCACCCTCTTACCCCGTCTCCGATCGACATCTCATAATTCCGACCTGTAAATTTGCACCATGTTCCCGCAAGAACGCGCCGATTACGAGCGAGCCCCCGGCCAAGCCCGTAAATATCGAGAAGCAAGTGCGAGGAGTGACCCGAGAGCGTCTTGGACTTCGTTTCGACTATCCTCTGAGACTGACGGCAAGTCGGCCGCTTTCCATGTAATTTACAGGTAATTTTCAGGCGTGCGCGGTCCGCCACGCGGCTATCCTGCTATCCTGGCGCTCCTGAGTCACCCTCCTACTCTAGAACACCCTCCCGCTCCACTCTGCAGAAGTCGGAAGCACAAGAGCAATGGAACGAGAGCGTTCCTGAGTTATAGCTTCCTGGTGGCGCGAATGCTTCTGGCGCCACTCTCTTGACGAGTGACAGGACGTTGACGAGCCTTGTCGAAGGACGAAGGCAAGTCGTCGTCGTCGCCGGCGATACAAAAGAAAGCCGGAACGCGGCAAAATTCGCGGACGCATGCGGCCCTGATACAGGGGATACTTGCCGTCCGAAAGCGCATACGCCGCAGAGGTGGGAGCGCGCCCGCTCCACCCCCAACGGGAAAAAAAATCTTTCCTCATGCTATCCTGTTGCCAAGAATATTTGTAAGGGGTAGAACGCCGACGAGCAGTCTTCAGGATATATCTTAGACCGGTGTAAAAAGGTGACACGTAAAGCTCGCCTCACACATATGTGAGATGCTTGGATCCGGATTTAGAATTGGATTTAAGCATTTCATTTTTTAGAATCACATAATAATATATGTGACATTACATTTGCAATCGCAACTCGATTGAAAGACTCGTATTCGAATTCTGATGTCAAATCCTCGTTTGAAACTTGTCTCATGTATGAGATGTGGGATCTGAATTTAAAGTTAAACTTCAGAGAATTTTTCATTTGAATCATATATATATATATATATATATATAATTTTTAATATTGTAAATTGTAATTTTATATCTTTAACTCTGAATTAAAATCTGATCTATCTCATTTGGAACAAGTTCCAAGTGTAACTATTGATACAAATCTTAGCAGCTGAAATGTATATGTAATGGCATGTGTCGGTCGAAGAATTTGGCGAAAATTGCGCTTTTATAATAGCGTTTCACTAATATTTCTAAAGAAGAATAAATTCTTCTCTTTTAATAATAAACTTTTATTAAATAGCGATAAATATATTTTAACATTATTATTATATAAATATTCTTCATTGAAGGCAAACATTACTTAGAAGAAGGGAAGCAAGCTAATTAAGCTCTTTTCTTAATATTAAAGTGAAATTTTTCTATATGTGCAAATTCTCCGGCAAGAGTATCGCGTTTCGTTCATACCTTGTTCGTGCTTTGGTGCTATTTCGCCGACGCATACTCGCAAGGGAAGCTAGGGATAGGATCTCAGGTCCTTTAGAATATCATCGTCGGGTTCGAAACATCTTCTTAGACGCGTATGTCGACTTTCTCATATCCTGCTACTCGAGCTTGCGCTACCTTTTGAAGCCGTTCGCGTTAGATAATTCAACATATATATGTGCAGATTCCGTTTTTCAAATCTACAGGTTAGATACTTACTGATTCCAGTTCTCGTTGCGCACGCGCGTATTATTCAAACTTATTTTCTCGTCCTATAACAAAATTATCCCGAAATGCGTGAACGACATTCCGAATGAGTTCTTGATTCTTTCGGCAGACCTCGAGAACATTTTTTTTTCAACAAAGTCTTACCGCAACTGCTTGTTAATTGCGCCAATACGATTATGTTGTAGAATTTTGCCTCGTGAGGGCAGCACTATACAAGCATCGTCATCGTGGCGCGATCACAGCAGCCAATAATAGGTTTGATGTAATTCCTCTCCATTCCTTCTTGGCTGTGCTGCTATTTGTCATGCACATACATATATAGTTATATACTCCATAAAGAGTTTTGTTCAAATTATGTTGACATCGCGCATATATGATGTTTGTAAATATTAATTAGGTTGCATCATATCAAGTCGTATATCTGCGATTATTACGAAATGTCTACACTGCCAAACATGAATACGCCGATGAATCTCAGAAAACACAGTACTCATTGTCAACCAGGTTAGCTGTCATCATTATTATACTATCTACCTCATTAAAATATAAAACATTGACCTCTTTGACGTTCATTACTGCAATCGATAGTAAGGATAGTATATCTACTGACGTTAAAAGTTAATAGAGTGAACTTTGGTATATCTAAATTAATAAGCATACTTTTTTCAAGATGTTCATAAGATGGTTTGTGTTGAGCGAACACAAGGAGATGGCATGGAAAATGTGACATTAGATAAAGTTGAGACCAAGCAAAGTAGGAGTCGTCTGGGAGATACTCTTATTTATCATCCTACAAACTTAAAGCAATTGGGATCAACACCTCCAGTCGTGCCTACTGGTACAATAGTAAACCTAGTGCCAAAGAACATTAGTAATGTAAAGCAAGAGAAGCATATTCTGCATCCCTTAAAATCAAAGGAACCAAAATTTGTGCCATACGAACCATATAAGGCAGCTGTTAACCCAATAGTACCATTCGAAAAAAAGAACAAAAGACTGCTTAGGAAGGAGTCAAGTGTAAAAACCACTATCGCACAAGTGGCTGCAATGAAGATTCAAGAGTCTGACACAAAAGCAAAGGATTCTACAAAAGAGGATGAGAAAAAAATATTGGAGAATGAATGGGAAAGTGAAAAATGTGCGTATGAGGCAGAAATTCGCAAACTCAAGGAGGAGAACAGTCAGCTGGAAACTCAGTTAAAATTTCAAGCACAAGTATAATAATTATGCTTTGATTAACAGTCAAATTTATCTGAGCATCTGTAATATTCATATGTTATATGTATAGGTTAATGGTGAATTGAAGAATTTATTAGTTGCTGCAGTGGGAGAAGATCTTGAGACAAGAGTTCATCTATTGACCGAAGACAAATTACAACTTGCTCGTGCTCTCCTGAATTCGGCTCAGCATTTAACTACACACCAAGAACAAACAGAATGGCTTGCAGGCCAATGTGAAGTTTGGAGAAGTAAATTTCTAGCTAGTAGGTAATTGACAGTCATTTCCGAGATGACATGGGTATTTCTGCTTTTTACGGTTTGCATAGTTTATAATGATTTTTCTGATTCAATTTTTAATAACGGCATCATTAATGTGGGATTTATTATAGTTTAATGGTGGAAGATTTAGCAAGATGGAAAGCTGCACTCTGTCAAAGAACAACAGAACTGCAAGAATCTATGAAACGATTGTTAGAAGAACATAACGTTATTCGTGATACATCGCTTAAAACATATAGGTACATTATATAATTATATTTTATATACACACAATACGTATATAATATAATTATGTATATAATTTATTTTTATATTATATAAAAATATATAATTTTGTATAAGAAATATATTAATTAATTATATTGTATAATTGATTGACAATGGCCAATCTTGTTTTTCTAGGATGCTTACAATTCTGCGAGAAAAATTCGATCCGATAGGCACGACATCCGGCAAGAAGCACGAACTGGCTAGCACAAATATCGTAGATCTCACACAGGGATGTTGTCAACTCGCCGAAATTCTAAAAATCAGTCTACTCAGCGGTGTTCCGGATGTCGAGTTACGGAAAGAGATCAATATAACTGGTTTAGATATGAAAACGCTCGCAGAACACAATGCGGAAAGGGTGAGAAATGTTTGTCTTTGAATATTCCGCGAAAAGATATAACATGTTTGTGTATCTCGATGTAACAAGCTTATGTTCAAATTGCAGTTGCTGATGAATCAAAAGTTACCAATGTCAGGAAGAGAGGACATTGCCTGCTCCGCTGTAATGGGCGCGGCAGTTGCAGTTGGTGGGCAAATGTTTCTTCCACGATGTGACATTAAAAATATGACATGTTGTCCACACTGCAGTGGCGAGATTAAACAAATTTAAAAATAGTTCTACTTTTATATCTTCTATTTGATGCTTTTTGTACTAAATATATTGAATATTTTCATCTCATATCTAATGTTTATACAGCTGTTTGTTTTAATTTACGAGGAAATCGTTTTTCCGATATACATCATATAGTGTATAATTATTAATTAAGACATCTAATTTCAATAAGGATGAGGTCAAATCTATTGTTTCCTTTCCAAACTTTAAATTTGATTTCAAAGTCTTAAGTATTTAAAAAATGGGATCTTTAAAACGAAATTCAATTGTTATATATGCAATGCTGTAAGTCGAAAGAAGCAAATTTATAGTCATTTTATTATTTATTTGTATATGCTTGTATTTTATGTTTCACACATTTATACTAATATATAATAATAATTATTATAATTTATTTGTATAATTTATTTTGCACATATATGTATAAGTACCAATAATATTTTTGTTTTCTCACCACTATGTTTTCCTGCAAGTCTAAAAACTTTGAACACCAAAATGATATACCTTTCTTAGCTTTGTTTTCTTTCAGTGATGTGTGACGATATATTAAGTTTGAGGTAGAACATGAGAAGACAATACAAATTTTCACAATAAGAATACAAAGGGAAATAAAGGGAAGCAATACATTAAGTAATTAATGTAATGTTGTATTAAGAATAAAAAATAATTTATTAATTATATCATTTTGTATTATGCCACACTCAATTAAAAAATTAAAGAATTTCTTTTTCAAATATATATAGACAAAATTTAATCGACTGTAACTTTAGAAAAAATAATGACAAAGTAATTCAACCATTATTTTAAAGCTTGAAATCATTAGTTTTCACATACATTTATATATCACACATGCATTTATATATCTATTTCTAAATATCAATTTATTTTTTACAATACCACATAAGTATATTGCATCAGTCAGAAAATTCAAATTTTTTTAGCAGCAATTAAGAATCAAAAATAAAATTAAATATGATGCAACTTTAATCAATACTTCAGACATTAAAATCAACTCAACTAACATTTTTATATACATTACATATTCTTATGTACAAAATACAAAATATATTTCATTGTAATTGGTCTTAGAATATGTTTATATGTCTCAGTCTTTGGTTGGTGGGATTTAAATTTCGAAAAGTATGGAAGATGTAAATATTTCTCAGCACAGGGAAAGATGGAAAGAGTGGGGTAATGACGATCCATACCTCTATAAACAAAGATACTTTTGTGGGCGAAGGTATGCCTATTTCGAGTTTGACAATTTTATCGTGTGCTCTCATGCACGTCATCGAAAGTGTAACTAATGAATTACTACTGGAAAAGTTACATCGACTAAGTTCAACACGTGATTTATCAATTGGTCCGATAATATAACCTTCAAGTAAAATGTCTTCACACGTATTCGCGTTCATTATCGGCTTGATCGGTATTGTGACGTGTAATAATGCGTATAATGATTTTTTCGACGAGGAATTAATGCTGAAACCTTTGCCGAGTAATCACGTTTACGCCTACTTTCAATTCACCACGATATGGGAAACGGCGAAACGTGTGGAAACGCGTGAGTAGTATGCGATGTTCGTGTGTCAGTGTACTGAATGATTCATGTGAAAATGATAAAAATATTTTAGTTCAGCATTCACATCTTTTCCCAAGGGGATTGGGTGAGATCATAGGGCGTCACAATATTGATGAGCTACATGTGACTTTAACAGAGGGACTATGGAATTATAAAAAATGGGGCTATCCCTTCCACGATGCTGGTCCCGGTGCTGAAATTACTGCCTGGTTTAACAAAAATGTGACAAAGTAAAAGAAATATTCTTTCACAAATATATTTTTTGCAAACAGCAATGATATATACCTAATACCAGACACCATAAATTATTTTGCTATATATAGATTGTATAAACAGCTCTGACATAAAAATTTCATAATACATAGACTTTTTTTATAGTGTAGATGAAGGCTGGAAAGGACTGACAAATGCCTTGGCTGGATTGCTCTGTGCTTCTCTAAACTTTGTTGATGCATCCAACAGTATGTCACCAGAATTTACTTTTCGTCCCACTGGAGTCACAAATGAACCAGTCAATTCTAGTCACTTGCGCTATTCATCCCTACCGAGAGAGATAGTTTGTACTGAAAACCTAACACCATTTAAGAAACTGCTACCTTGCGACTCTAAGGTATTCATAGACTGAAATATTCATTATTGAAAGAGTACCACTATATCTAAATTTACAGTAATTGTTATTGTATATTATTATATATTTATACAATAATTTTTTTTTAGAGGGGTCTAGCGACATTGCTGAATTCTGCACATATTCATAATACAAATTATCATTCCATTGGAATACATTTTCGGTCAATATGTCGCGACATAACTTGTACAACAACATCTCTGGAGCTGCGACAGACTGTCTCTTTGATATACGACACGATGACAGACATGAATCAGGTAAATCAATGAATATTAAATTTATTATTATTCTCCTCCGATATAATAAAGATTAAACATAAGTTTGATTAAGTGTTACTTAAAAAGATTAATAAATTTAATTGAACTAAGTTTAAGTTTTGATTTGTTTAAATTTCACACCGACATTCACTGTGTTGTGTTTCTCTATTTAGTATGGTTGGATACCGCGAGTCTATCCAAACATGTAGAACATTTAATTATTGTCATATATTTTTGCCAATCATTCTTCAATTTACATAGGACTGGTCGATTCGAAAGTTCTTTGGCATGGGTCTCAAGGGCGCATGCCCGCTCGCTACGTTGAGCAACATATATGTTGATACATCTAACAACAATACGAATCACATATACGAATTGACGCCACCGCCAAGCGCGAAAATCTTGAGTCTGCGTGGAGGACAGCAGAACGAAATAGCAGTGTATGATATCCGAGCGCATTCCAATAAAGGAATGTTTAACATCGCTGCTGTACATAGTATGCCAAAGGCAAACACTATAAACTACCCTTCGATTCTCTTCGCGAATAGATACATCATCGGTATGTATTGAGCATTAAGCCAAATCTCACATGGATTAATTTCTTTTATTACATTATACATATATCCTTAAGAATTGTAGCTTCCGAAAATCGAGTTCGTCGAGATATCGTTATATTCTTAAAGTAATACAAATAATAAACTCGCTACACGTTAATACATGTTAATACAATTCTCCAGGATATGGTCAAGAAAGAGGCAGTTTAGTGACGAAACTGTATAACAATCACTGGCAGGCATTAGACGTGATTCTGTTGGAGAATATTCCATGGTATTTGTTAGTTTATTTACATTCCATCACGATAACCAGGAATGGTCAACAGGTTTCCCCACGTAAGTGCCATGTAAATAGTAAAAGATAAAAAATAAAAGTAAGAAGTTTGATTCTAATAAAAAAATAATATGTTACTCGGTTGCTTTTCTTGACCGAAGCAATATTTGTCTAGGAATATTAAAATTATTTTTTCGTTACATTTTCCTAATTATTTAATTCTGCAGTAATTCTTTTTTCATTAATTTTGTAAATAATTAAATATTTTAAGTAACTGCTTCAGCCAGTAGTCGAGTTTGGACCTCCTTACCTGCTAAGTCTTAAAAGGAATCAACTCATTATAACATAAAAATTAAATGTCTTCCCAAGGCTTGAATCAAGCAAAATTTGATATTTAAATCCAAATCCTTACTGTTTGAATTTGAACTATTTGGAAATCTCAAATTGCAAAAATTTAAATATAAAATCAAGTAAGATTTGATTCGAATAATTTGCACATCTCTATCAATTTGTCACCAATTAGTCGCGTCAAAAGTCTGACAACCATATCGACACATATCGTCAAAATATATATTCTCTTATTGTATAATGCTATCATGATCAACATTTGCAGTTCGTTCTTATCAGCCATTATTTTCGATAAAAAAATAAAAGGTACAATATAGAATGATCTAAGGTCTGCTATCGAAACTATGCAACTATGTAACGTCCCTATACAACTTACGCAATTAGTAAAATTTATAAAAAGAAGTTTTATTCGTGAAAACTGTATAACATGATTATTGACACATTTTTTTTAACGATATTACAGTGGCGCAGCGTTATCTGCCCGGGAAGGAAAGAAAGAGTCCGTACTATTTGGAGTTAATATTGCGTCTGCCGCCGCACTCGGTTACGAAGGTCTCCATTGACATGGACTACCTGTTTCTCAAATGGCAGGAGTATCCACCGGACGCTAATCACGGCTTTTATATGGAACCAGCAGTAGTGACGGCATTGTTACCTATAGCCAGAAACTATACCGCACTGCCACTCGATGGAAGTACGATTACCTCGAGGTTGGTTCGCGTAACGTTCGTTTTAATGTCATTTCTCCGTCGATCAGAACGCAAACGACAAATCTCGTTCGTTGTGAACTTATAAAATAAGCGTTATAAATAGCTAAATCAACGATCAACTTGGTACTTAGAATGATAAACTTGCAGTTTCAACGCTTCGCGAGATAACTATCTGGTACAATTACGGACAGAATCCTTGCTCATCAGTCTTCCGACTCCTGACTTCAGTATGCCTTACAATGTCATATGTCTGGCATGTACGGCCGTCGCATTGGCGTTCGGTCCACTTCATAATATTTCCACAAAGAGATTAGTTTTGAAGCCCATCGAGAAGGACTGGAAAGGTAAACTATTTTCGTTCTTTGTAGGAAAGATATTCAAAACGAAGAGGAAACAGGATTGAAAAATCTAATATATATATGTATATATATATATGTATGTATATATATATATATATATTAGATATATATATATATATTAGATATATATATACATACATACATACATACACATACATATACTCATACACACGCACACACATTCTTGTACTTGTTTGTTGTCAGCCGTAAATATATAACGAAGGTATATATTTACGTTCTTCTGCTACAAGACTGTAAGTTTTAATAAATAAGTACGAGGATTTTTTCTTCACGCAACTTTTCATAATTATAAGAAGAAAGAGTTTTCTCTCATAGTAACAAAATACATGCCTGTTTATAAACCAGATTGACTTGCTTCATTTCTATCGTCGAAGTACTCTTTGGAAAATTAAAAATCTTGCAAATTTCTTACCGTGCGAGACGATTAAAAAGTGTGTTCGTATATTCCGTTCTGTACCTAACGTGTACATATCTCAACTTATATTTACTTAAATCGAACCTTAACCTATTAACGTTATAATAGCGGGCGTATGTAACAAACTAAACTAAATGTATTTTGGACTATACTATATACATAACGGGTTTATACGAGCATCTCACAACCCACAAAGTAAATGTCAACAGATTCTCTGATGAATTAATCTTTCAAGTTGATTTTTCCTCAAAGAAATATCCTTTAACGGCTCAATAATTGTTATGAGAATTTACACCTCATAGCGATATTACTGATTAATATTAACATTATATAATGTTTTCATTTTTATACATTTCAATTAATTTCAATTTTCTTTAGCACTGTAATTCAAAATTTACTTAAGGAAGCTTGTAATGTTGACAATTGGAGAGTTGCATCATAAATAATGACTTATTCAAGTATTTCTAGATTGTCTAGAGAACCTATCATTAAATCATTATTAAATAACTGCGAATTATGGGAAACCCTATATTATATAATCTTCAAACTAGAGCTTTTTCCAATGTTCATTTGGACCTAGCACTATCCGAATATCCGATTTTACGGACAGTACGTAATTGTGACGCTTAAAATCAGGACCATGGATAAAGATGGATAAAGATTCGAATTTTCTGAGTCAGAGTGTAGAATTCGAATCCGGATTCACGTTTGTGGTAATAAATGATCTGTTCTTTATCGCTGTACTCCTTACACTAGTTTGCACTATGTGTTCTCTCTTTTCCGCTAACTGTGGTTGGTTTTTTCTCAAGTATGGTATTTCTTCTCAAGTACCGAAAGTGTACACCAGTTCAGCGATAAAGAAGAAGTCTTGCGATTCCTCTAGAAGATTTGACACGCGACCGGATATCAACATTTCTTAATTCACCAATTCAAAGCATGTTCACCTTCAAGCAACGGACTTTCCGTCTACAATCGTTTTAAAAAGGTCCCCACCGTAAGATGTGCGTGTAATCGTTTAAAACATTTTAAAGAATAAAACATCTGTTTAACAATGCTTTTTGTATCTTCCATTATTAATAAACAGTTACAATCTTGTGAATGTAATCGCATGTTATACGTATCTTAAACATTCATCGCATAACGATCACAGGTGACCAACGAGGCGTAAACGGAAGGCTTAATGCCGATCATCGATGACCGTCATGGCGAATGTATTAATGACTCAACTTGCTTTCGAACACTTTGCGGTCCGTGTTTCGCGTTACTTAACTCAAATTAGTCTAGATTATAATCTGTATTGAGCCGTATTTTTTCACTGCAAATAAGTTTCGATATAAAAAAACTTACTCAACCGTAGGTCTCTGTAATCGTTGACTAATCGCGTTTCTCATTATGATATCTGCGGACTGCAAAGTCGAAATTCGTACGACATCGTTACACAGTCGGCGGGACCGCAAAGTGTCGATTGGATACGAGCTCAGGTGGGCTTATTTTATAACTTCTAACGCTAACGACACTGTCGTTAAGTTACAGAACAGGCCGCCTATTTGATTCGACTGTCGATTCTGATCTGAATCTGAATTAAAAAAACGCGAATTGGCCGCCAAATGGCGCGGTTCTGAATTTTCAGACTGGAGTCGGATTTCGCATATCCGAGTACTCGTGCGAGTTTTGAGCCTCAAACGTGATCCAACTTGACATGATATATTCTTCTCTCACTTCTGTGGCAACTGTCTTGATCTTTATTCGCCGAAACAAAAATAAGAGATTGTAGTAATTATGCAAATTAAACCTAACATAAACTTCTCATCTACTCGAACAGTAGAATAATAAATATGAAGGAAACAATGTACATACATAACAATACGTAAATGTTATCATCTTAGCAACTTCTCATCCGCGTGAAGCTGATATTTACGGCGCCGACCTGAGAACTGGAGAAAGGTGTGCGTACTCGTTCAATACGCCAGTTCGAGATTTGTTCGTGCAATTTTCGATTCTGTCTTCGTTCAGCACGTTATTCGATAACCGGTCCGTCGGCGAAGGCGCGGGGCAAATGTAGGGCTTCGTGTAGTGCTTGTTGTTCGAAGTGACTTTTCGTAGAAAGGACCTCGTGATCAAAGACTCTGTGGAATTCATAGGATCGCGGTTCTCGTCGCAAGCTGGTGTCAAGGTACGCCGATCTTCCTCCTCGTCAGACGAACAAAGATCGATCAACATGATCGAGCTAGTCGTACTCGATCTCTTCTCTCTCAACGATTTCGACGTAGGTTCTGCGTTATCCACGCCAGATGACCTCACGACGGTCGATGTAGCCGAGGCTTCTGTAGTGTTCAACGCTGTCAACGCTGTACTGATACTCGCTTCGTCGTCTTCGACAAGAATGGGATCGGATTCATCTCCCAGTGGCGTTTTGCGTTTCGTAAACACCGACGAGTTTTTTTGTGCGTCCTGCCGCGACCTCTTGTCGCGACCTGTTTTGCAAGCCGGCCCTGCTCTTCTCATCAACATCACTTTCCCTGAGATCGTCGGTGGCTGGTACTGCGAAGGGTCTCGCTTCAGTTTTTCTATGTGCTTCTGATTCAGTCGGGTGAGAACGGCGTAAATGGGTCGACACGCAGCGTATAACAGTTGTGATTCTATGTTCAGAGCTGAAGAAGGAAAACATATAGACATTACGCAGTCCTTTCCCATGGTCCTTCCTCGTTAACGACAAATGATTACCTGACTTGTTCGTGGACGACTTGACCAATTTATATTGATGCACGTAGCCATCGGTCGGCTTGTCTCGGTTTGGTTTATACGTGACCACCCATCTGTCGTAGTCCGGCTCGGCGTCCAACCACTTCGGTCTACATGAGCTGCTCAATATCGGCGCGATAACGTGTCTCTCTATTCGGTCTAATCGTTCTTGTTGCGTCTCCTGAGTCATCGTCTTCGACTTCTTCGCTAGCACCAAGCCAGCGGGCGACGAGAACGGGATGGTGGCGCATCTTGCGAAATTGAGAGACCCCCTAACGCGCCGAGACGTTCGTCTAACGATATTGTTGTCAGTCTCACTTGTGTTATTCACACCAGGCTGCTTAGGTTCAGTCTCATTTGGTTTTAGATTAAAGTATTCTAGAAATTGATGCTGTTGTTGCTCGGTCTCGATCGGGGACAGATCCGGTGTGGACGACCGCGAGCCGCTGCCGCCGTGGTCTTGCTCGCCGCATATCTTCTCATGCTCCTGATATTCGGCAGACAAAAAGTATACGTACATTAGCGCTTATTGTTACATCTAGCTTATTGTTACGTCGCGCGCGACTGTGGCTATACTTGTGGCTTCTAACGACGAAGAGGTTGACTCGATAGAAAGGTGATCGTGATAAATGGGACAGCGTACCTTCATTTTTGCGAGGCCAACGAACTCGGCGTCGCAATTGTCGCACAGGTAAATGTCGTCGCATGGTGGCTGGACCATCATAGGGATCTGTTGCTTTACCTTATTACCATAAGTCAATGCAGTTGCGTTGTGAGACAGCAGCATCCTCCGCGAGGTTTCATTCTTTTTATCATAATTCTGCAAGAAAGCTTTCTTACATCCACTGAGTCGGGGCTACGTGGGCATGTAAAACTGTAGCGAAACAAGTCAAGATATGTAAACGTTGTGAATATACAAGATGTCCCGTTCTCGCGAATTTAATTTTACCGAGAGCTTCTTTTTTGAGAGAAAGGGAACAATTTAAAGATGACTTTCTTTCAGTGGAAACGTCGAGGCACCAACAATTTCTGAGATACAAATCAGCTTAGTTTGCGAGAAGTGGGGCTTTTCGCAAATTAAACTTTAAACGACCAAATGGATAAAAGTTATTTTCCTTCTATAAATTTCAAGTAGACTTTACTCTGACAGGATTTTATTTTAGGCCACTTATCTTCACAACCACGTTACGGAAGTGATAAGTCACCATAGATAATGAACTCTCTCGACATTTTCGACAATTCGAAAGGAGAACCTGTTAAATAAAATTGAAGTAGCGAGCAACTTGCATACGCGATTTATAAGCATACACACCATGTTCTCATTGCGAAACGTTACTAGGAGCTTCCCCGTGCTCTTGTGATATAGACTAGTCGTCGAGTCCCAATTATTCACATACTCCAGTTCCTCATGCGGATATCGCGCCAAGTAGGAACAAAAACGTAACAAATATTCGCTTCTGTGGTATGTATAACAGCGGAAAACTAATTTCTTTAGGTTCGCCATCCAGTTCTAAAATAGAATTCGAGTCGAGTACTTTCAGAAAGACAGGACTTGACTTGTGTGTTATACAGAGTGTCTGAAAATTAACGACAAAATGCGTGATACTGTACGTTTCCATAGTCGGCATCACGCACCGATCGTCTCGTTGCAAAATAAATATAAAGATGTCTTAAATGAGACCGCGTCTACAGAGCTCGTCCTATTACTTCATGTGCACTTATTCGCCAACATTTTTTAATCGATTCGCTTAATAATTTCAATACGCGCGAAAGCAGTGATACAGAACGTACGAATTGTTAATAAACTATTGCAAAATCTGTAAAAAGGTTGAAGTTTCTCTTATTAAGTTTGATACGCTCTACCTGCACACAGACATTGTATTATCAATTGTTAGATACTCTGTATAACACTTCATAGTCTACAAAGTAGAGATATGAAAAACAATCTAATGATAGCAGGTAGCTTACATCATTGATCTTTTTGGGTCTTGTCAGCGGATTTGAAAATTTTATATCTTGAGGCCACCACTGAGGTTTATTAATAATTTTAGTGGTGTCATGCCCCAATGAACAATGAACCATGAAGGATATAAAATGTTCTAGTTGTACCTGTAAGACAGTCATCATCAGTATGGATTCATAAACAGAATCTAGATAAAGTTTATACTATAGTAACATGCACTTCTGTAGCTTTATTCATTTTCAAAAAACCAATTACAAAACTCTAGAAACACAAAATACAAATCTGTTTACACAAAGTATCAAGTAGAGTTACTGACATATATATATATATATATACCATTGTGATCTTCTCCAAAGATGTAGGATGCCCATTGGCAAACAAAAGAGGAAGATTGGATATCATAGAACTCTCCTCCCTTCTTATATTTCTGTTATCTTCTGCAAATGTATCATTGGTGATATCCATTTTGACCTCATCTACACCATCAGAGGGTCTGCATTCAGGCACATCTGCTGTTCCATATCCTTTGTTTTCTTGCATAGCTAAGGGTTTCATGTTTCCAAAGTTATTGAAATATTTTCTACTCAAGATACATTTACTGTATAAATCTTATGTCCCTTTTTTGCACAGGACATCCTGTCATATTATTTTCCTTGTTGTGTATAGAGTAAACATTTCTCATTACAAGCACATACAAGTATAAACATACTTATAAACATACATACAAACATACAAAATCCTATACTAAATAACACTGAGACAAATCTCTAAGTTATCCCACAGATTTTATCCGACCGTTCTGCAGAGAATGGTGTGAGTGTGATATTTCCTAACATACCCTGTCTGCCCACACGGAGACAATCTCAAAAGCGGGTAATGACAACCGATCTCTTACTATGCAATCTCTAGCACCGAAGCACTATGTGTAAGAGGCATTCCTTCTTTTCGGGTTGAATGCACTAGCGCACTAACGAGTGCCGTACACAAATCCACACAAAGGAACTCGCGTTTTACATAAGCAAATTCGGAAGCTCATATCGGCTTGCGTTACATTTCATCGAGCGAGCGGTTCATATCACCGAATTCAAGTAAGTCACAGGTCAGTGTGAAGCGGGACGCAGGACAGAGCTACGAATGATCAGGACGATCTACGTCGTGGCCGTCTTCCGTGCGGCCAATGCATACGTGGAAGAGAGAGAGAGAAAGAGAAAGAGAGAGGGAGAGAGAGAGAGGGAGAAAGAGAGATGCCTATATACTAACGCTTTACATTCGGATAAATCAATGTACGACGGAAGCCGCGATCCACAGTGTGAAGCAGTGCATTCGATCAAGCTCGCCGCAATCACGATTGAGCGCGACACATCCGTATACCTTTTTTGGCGATCTCGCCTTATTTCCCGTGCTGCGCGGACCTCAACATCGCTGCACGACGACGACACGGCGCGTCGTCCGGGCCTCGACACCCTCGCGCCACATTTTTCTCTCTCGGTGCGATAACGATGGCGCGTATATCCGCTTACTTGTCCCTGCTCGTCTTACTCTCTCTTCCTCTCCCCCTCTATCTCTCTCTCTCTCTCTCTCCTTTCTATCACTTCCGGATCGACCGAGCGACCGTTGCACTTCTCCTAGGGTACTATCACGAGGAACACCGTGCGCCCGTCTCGCTCACAAAGTGGATGCGCCCTTGGAACGACGTGGTGACCACTCGTTCGTCGCACTGTAAGTACACTCACATCGCAGCCGAGGTCGTCGCGACGTCTCCCGACGAGGCTCGCCACGACCTAACCGCGACTTAATAGAGAACCTAACCGCAGCCTAATCTCGCGCGCCAGCGTTGACATGCCAGCACGAGAACCTTTCTTCCTCCGCGAGCGAGAAGGTACTGACGACAATGACGACGGGATGATGACGTGACGATGATGATGACGTTGACAATGACGACACAGGCACTAGCAGTCGGCACTCACTGATTAAGCGACCATATATACAATCTCGAGCGCGCACCAAAATGATAAGTGATAGGATTGTGAGGTCCGCGCGAACACAATCGCGTGGCAGAACGATCGGGGCGATGGTTCCTGCCGATTGACAGTTCTCTCCTGCTTTCTCTCCCCCTCTCGCTTCCTTTCTTTCTCACTCTCTTATCCTTCTGCAACTATGTACTATAAATGTCAAGATGGCGATTTTCGGGCGGCACGTCAAATCAACCTGCCTTTCTTCACGCCGTTGGGACCGCACAATCACCTCGTGACGTATCAATCCCTCGCTCTCAAGGCTCGGAAATAAACGCCGAGTCGGCTCACAGCTGATTTTTCCGTGACGCACGACTCTGATTCTTCGCAATTCAACAACGATGAAAGTCGAACGACAAACGCGGGAAAGAACGGCGGGAAGCGAAATATATCGAGGCAATTTCGAGAACTCGCCGATGCGCATGCGCTCTGCGTGAAAAATTGTTCTCCCCTCCTTCTTACCCCAGTCACCATACGCCAATAGAAAGGAAATTGAGTTCGTCTCTTTTTCCTTCTATACTCTGATACGATATCTTTCTCTTACTTTTCTTACCACAAATCTAAATATTTTACCTTGTCCGCACAGAAAATGACAAACACGGGAAATTTGCAATGTATATTTTTCATGTTTTAAGTAAAACACAAGTAAAACAGTTGAAGTAAATCGTCAAGTTCTTATTGAACCAACGGCTGCATTTTGAACTATGAAAAATGTTCTGATTTGTTTTGAAATATAATGTATAGTCGGTTGTATAGAAGGTTTCTGGTATTCGTCGCGGCTATATTGCCGAATAATAACGTCAGAGACATAAGATGACACGCTGAAAATTCTTACGTTCTATTTTAAAATAAAAAAAGATTTATATGAAAAAATACTTCAGATCTTTATACTTGTAAAATATTCCGAGCTATGCTTGTCCGAGCTATGCTCCGAGCTTCTCCTTTGATAGTTAATCCACTACAAACCTATATAACACAGAAGTTGCAGCCAATATTGGCGCAACGTTGAAACAATGTTGCAATATTGTAGCAACGTTTTTTTTTTCAACTTTGTATACTGTGTGGGAAAATGACTGTAATATATCTAGTCATGCGCATGCGCAATCATTCCACATAACTAACCTCATCTTATAGTGATTTTATGGCTGTTGATTAATTTTTAAGGGAGAAACATAGTGTTAAAAGCATTTTATAAGCATCTTGTAGCAATTTATATGAAGTATTCTTTCAAACAAGTATCTTTTTATTTGGAAATGGCACGCAATAATTTCAGGCATGCATTTCCTCTCTTCTGACGTCATCGATTAGGAGATCCGCACTAGGAATCAAAAGCCTTAAAGGTTGCAACTATCAGTTACATAAGCCGGAGAATGTTGAAAGTTATCCTTAATCACCTTAATTGTTTATATACTAATGAAGTTTATTACGCTCATATTACCTTACCATACATGCAAGAGATTTGTCCCATGTGTTTCATCACTATGCAGGCAGCTATATTGTTTCTATCAATAGGATTCAATCAATAGAGAAGGTTCGTATGTGCCCGAAAGATCGGGACTTCCTTAAAATAATGTGCAAGAGATTCTGGGGAAACTCCCACCCTATTTTCCATTAAAAAAGTTAATTGGTTTAACCAAAGTTAGATTAGGTTAGGGCTAAATGAGAGGTTATGTTTTAAGTTCAATCGTACTAGCTAAGTTTGATCGTACTCTGTTTAATATACCTTGACTATAACCTATAAAGATTAATCCTTATATCTTAATATATCCTTTTTAATCTTATATAATTTTTGTTTAAAATCAGGCAATTATATTTAGCACTAAATATAAATCTCCGATTAGATAAAGTTAAAAAGTTAGGTTATACATTGCGAAATGTAACTTCAGGATTGAATTTTAATTTCACATTTAGTGATTATCTTTACGCAGGTATTATTTTTTAATAAAAGTTAAGTATGAATTGTAATAAAAGTAATATCTAATAAACCTTTTACAATTAATAAAGCAGTACAATTTTTACTTACCCATACTTATACCGAAGCTATATGCGTCCAAAAGCGCATGTCATGCGACAGACAAATCAAAATGGTGGTTTTATGACGTAGAATAATAACCTATATTTTTTCATTGTACAGTAATCGAGAAATATTATATGGATGTTCAAGTATATTTAATATGTATATTTAATGGTCTGTTCATTGTAGCTGCACTGTTGAACTGGTGCAATAAGTTAAAGTGAGACAAATATAGGTTTTCTCACTCTAGCTTATTGCACCAGTTCAGCAGTGCAGCTACAAAGAACAGACCATAAAATATATTTACAGAATAATTGGCTTCATCTAAAATATCAGATATTATTAACGTCTGTTTTATGTAGTACCCCAGACAGCACATGATCTCCTGGGGACATCGTATGGACGTCCTGAGGATGAAGAAACGTCCCCCCAGGACATTCTTAAGACGTTCTGGACATCTGCTGTTAGGGTCATATACATATTTATACATATATATACATATGGGTATTGTGTATTTGTGTTGAGTGATATATATCGACGATTATTTTATTCAATTAGTTTAGAAAATTACATTTCGTCTTTGTTTCGCAGTAAATATATTTGCAGAACTATTTTGCGTAAGATTGAAGAAGTTTATGAAATTTATTCTATAAAAGTTTATATATATATATATATATATATATACACACAACATTAGAATACTGAAGATATAATGAAGGTTATTTTTATATTTTAATATTCTTTATTTTATATTTCAATTTACAAATTAGCAGAATATTTCTCAGCCGAATTAACATAATAAAATGTATGAATGTTACGTAAAAAGGAAAAAAAATTATAAGATTAATTACAAGAACTTTAATTATTTTAAATTTTATTAAGTAATCACAATTTACTAAAACACATATTTATTGACGTTATCAGTTTGACATAATTAATTGTGAATTGTGTTTGTCGTTAGAAAGTATGGCAACCCGTAGTAAAAATTGCGAAGTTAAATTGTGAAGCAATAGCCATCTATGAATATTGTTGTAAGTTGTCACCGTTTCTGTTTTCAAATTTAGCATGTTGGTAAATCGGAAGAATTCATAGTCGGATCTTATATTTAAGATCGTCTGAAGTTTATCTTCAGATGCTGTACAAATTACTTCATTGACTGATTGGAGTATCTGAAAGTGAACTTAAGACAATTTTAAATAGAAGACTCGACTATGAATGACCGACCTATATCCTCAGTATTGAAATTGCCACACAGAGATGTATGACTGGCGTAGGAGCGGAATTGTTCCGCTTGGAGCCATCTATTGAACCATGAACCATGAACCACACAGAGATGTTTCGAATTACGCTGGAAGTGATTGCTGATTTAACGAAATCAAAAATAATGAATTGCTTATTGTGAAAGTTTAACGTAATTATTATCGTAGTTTGGACATTAAAAGGATCAATTCTACAAAAAATGGATTCGTGGTCAAATACAATAACTGCATTACAGAGTTTTGGAAGCATTTTGGTTTGTCAAAAATGGTAATTGCATGTTTGTTAAATTGCTGTGGCCAAATAGCTTATTCCTAACTAACTGATTGTAAAATTCCAATATACCATACAACAAAATATTTATCTCTCTGTTATATGTGCTAGTTTAAACTTATATATTGTTTTGACATTCCTTGTATAGTGGACTTAAACCAATGTCTCCCATAAGATTCACAAATTGTGAACATTTTTTTTGTCAGAAGTGTGCCAATTCTACCACAATGTGTTATATATGTAAAATATCAGTACAGCCAAAGGATATGAGTCACAATCATATAGTATCCAACCTCATTCGGTGTTGTGATACTATTGCAGAAGTTGTCAACATGAAGTATGTATAGATTTTCTTCAACATAAGTGAAAATAAAGTTTCTAATAATATAGTTAGTCTTCATTTTTAACAAATCTCAGTGCAGACAAACAGTTGCACATATCATAATAATTAATGAAATAATAGCACTAAATATATAACTACCTTCGAGCATATAGTACTTGAAGATATATTTAGTGCTATTATTTCATTAATTATTATGTACAATAATGTAACAGTATACCGTTATTTTAGAAACTTATGGGACGTTAATATAGATCCTTCCAATACGTTAATGAATACATCAATGAATACCACAGTTTCTAAGACAATTTGTACACCAAAAAATATACATATACCTAAGAGAAACATAAATAAGCCAAATTATAAGGGAGAAACACAGCTGCATACTGCATGCTTGAAGGTATAAATATATAATTACAATTTCTCTAGATATAAAAAAATGTTCTTCTTTTGCCATATTTTCAATAATATATTCCTAAGATTTCAATCAAGATATAATTGTGTTATAGAAAAACATTGAACATGTCAAAATTCTCTTGATGGCTGGAGCAGATCCTAATACAAAAGATAATGCTGGTTGGACTCCACTGGTAAATGATATGTCATTTATTCCTTATACTTTTTGTTATATCATATTGTTAATTCTATCTTGTTTGATATATTTTTCATTTTTTTGTGCAACATTTCAGCAAGAAATAGTCAATTATGGACATACCGAATTGTGTGAAATATTATTGAAAGGTGGAGCATTTCCCAATACACCAGGTGATGAAAATAGAAGACCGTTACATGATGCTGTAATATATAATAGAATTGAAGAAGCTAAATTACTACTTCAATATCATGCTGACAAAGATGTATATGATAAATATGGCAAGAGTCCTTTGTATGTATTATATATATATATCACAGTTGAAAAGATAATGTAGTTTATGAATAACTCTGTCTTACAAAATTTTAATTTTATATATTCTAACTTTACAGAGACTACTGTAGGCCAGAAATGAATGAGATGCGAAGAATTCTGATGGGAAGTCAAAAGTCACCACTCTTATCTGAAAAATCATCTGAACTCAATCACACTCTAGATAGATCATTCATTGTAGGACAGGACAAATTGGTAGTTCTCGCTTCAAATTTGAAACCCGAGAATCAAAAGATACTTAACCTCGTAGCTGCGCAACATAAATTTAAAGTTGTGACCACAGATAGGTAGAGATTTTCTTTTATGTTTGTTTTCTTTTAAATGGACTTTTAAACATCTGCATGTAATGCGATCAAAATTTGTTTTCCAGATCATCTGTTACACATGTCATAGTAGAGGCAAACAGGCAAAACATTACAAAATTGACAGTTGATGTCATGTTCACTATTGTGCGTGGAAATTGGCTTCTCAACAGTGAATGTAAGACAAAATATAATCATGCGTCTCTGATAGTTTTTTATACTACAAATAATTCAATTATTTAGTATATTAATAGAGTTCTGTGTAAATTCGGCCTCTATAATGTTTTTAACTAAACGGATTTTGATCGATTAATGGCATAAGCACTGTGATAGGCAGGACAAATCTTAGTCATTCTTGGACCGATTAAAATCTGTCGAGCCAAAAACACTATAAGATTGCCATGCATAAAGTAAAAATGCCATGTAAATAGTGCAAACTTGAAAAGCAAAAAACGCTCGCTTCTGACGTTATCAATCGAAAGATTCGCGACAAATAGCCAGGGACATTAATTTATGCAAAGGATACCTAATTGTAATTATGTTAAGGTGTACTTGTTTAAAGGGATTGCACTGGCGGGAGATATGGAGGACGTGTCTACCATGGATCTGGAATTGTTTGAAATTAGCGGTGCGCCGATTCTCGGCGTACCAAGGAACGCAAGACTAAACGCAGAGTGCCAGAAGCCGCGTCTCTTCAACAACTGCTTTTTCCATTTCGCACTGCAGGCAAACAAGGAATATCGAATTGACGGCTTACGTTTGACGAAGAACGATCTGGTGAAACTGGTGAAAGAAGGTGAAGGGACTGTGCTGATTAGGGAACCGAAACCGGAAGACTTGAATGACGCATCGCAAATGATACCTTTTCACACCGCCGACGACTCGTCTCATCCTCTGCATAGGTGCACTCATTATGTCATATATATACCGGGCAAAGGTGAGCCGCTTATCAAATACATGATGCCGCATATCAAGAGCCTCCCGCTTATATGGCTGATCGAGTGTATCGAGAAATTCACTCTGGTCGATCCAGCCTTTCTGGGACTGTCCTAAGTGCCTAAATAAACGTAACTAATACTCTTTGTATCAATGGAATTTTTCAATTCTCAAACGTAAGCTTGATTTATATATTTTTCTATCACAAATTACTTATTGTGCGATATATTGACCAATTTTCAACGAAAAATTCCATATATTCCATTTCAAATTTCATATAATAAAACATGTGTATGTATAGAACTTTCTTAAGCGAAAGTTCTACACACACACACACACACACACACATAAAATGTTCGATGAGATATTGTCGTGAATAGAAATAGGATAAATAGAACAAATAGAATAAGTTGAGAGAATAAATGAACAGAATTACTATTTTTAGATGTCGTCTTGTGCGTGCATGCGTGTATGCGTAGTCGCGCGCGCGTGCTCGTATCTGTCCCTTTCGATATTCACGAAGAAACCGGTCGCTCCTCTCTTCGTTCCAACTTCCTTCATTCTTATCCTTTTCTCAGTAGCGCGACGCAATCGTCGGCCGATTAACGCATTGGACATCGTAACGTAGATGCGACTACGTTCTTCAGCTTGTAACTCGCATAAATTTCTCATTCATTAGTTGGATTACGCCATTACGTCCGGCGACGACGACGACAACGACGACGATGATGATCGTCGTTCAGTTCTATCGGAAATTTATATCATACAGTCATGGGACGACGCCACCTCTCGCTCAAGGAGAGCGATCAATTCTGGAGGGAAATATCGTACGGTATCCCGTACATTTACGGATAAAGTACCGCTAGCCGCACACACTCGGACGTGCGTTGCGGTACGCATACACGCACGCGTGCCGACTTACTCACCGACACGATGCGCGACGGGACACACGTGAGTGGAGAAGGAGCGAAGGAAGGGAGGATGACGGAAGAAAAGCTAGAAAGGAGAACGGGACGGAGAGGGAAAGAGGAAGAAGAGAGCGTAAATCTGGAGGAAAATAGGAAAAAGAGCGAATGCTCCTTGCAGTTGCGGAGGAGAGTGGCGGCGATGGTTGGGGGGGGGGAGGGAAGGAAGGGTCAGAAGACAAGCGTGAACCGCCTGCGGCTGTGTAGGAGTACACAACGCACATTCAAGAGTGATACTTAAATGATCGGTTATCGTGGAAGAAATGAAGAATGCATACTGAAGAGTGCACAGGGACGGACAGGACAGTCCGATTAGATTTCAGCGCTCGCCAAGTCGAAACGACCCTGGCTGCCGGGTATGAATGAAATCGCCAGTCGGGACGACTCGGATACAATATGTCGGCGATAGGTAACAGTACCCAGACAGTTCCCCTTACATCATACTTGGCGACGCGACAAATTAACGGCCCAAAGCGCTCAGTCGTCTTCCATTCAGCTTTCTTCTTTTCTACCTTCAACCTCTCGGGGACTTCTCGGACGCCGCGCGATCTCGCGCGATTCCGTCGCGGAAGCGAACAGCACAGAAGTCGCGACTAGCCCGCCCCTGTCAACAACCCTATCCCCTCCGGACAGCGTCCGCAAAGCCGGTCGACGGTCGTCTTCCGTCTTCTTTCCACCAGTCGCTGGGTCTTCTCATCTTCTCCTCTCTCTCTTTCCCTCCTCCTTGGCCATCATCGCCGCCGTCGCTGTCGCCGCGCGGAGGTGGGGGTCCACACACCCTGACCCACAAGTAGGCCCTGATCTCTACCCAGTCAGTCCATCCGTCTGACAGGTCGAGGCAGGCGATGCGGGCCCGAGCCGTGCGCACGACAACATTGTGAACATCGCTGAACTCTCTCGCGGTGAAGAGCAGTTTGACACGCACGTGATCGAGTCCACGCGAACAAGACAGTGCATCGGTCTCGTCTCAGAGAGGCGGTTTCTGCTTCTCTCTCTCTCTCTCTCTCTCTCTCTCTCTCTCTCTGTCTCTCTGTCTCTCTGTCTGTCTTCTCCTTTCTCTCTCCCTTTCGTTCTTCCTCCTGCTTTTTTCTTCACCACTCGACTCCCGATCGGAGGAATAGGAACGGAGGCGGCTTGAGGGAGGCTGAAGATGATACTGAGAGTCGACCCTAGGGGCATCGTCCTTTTGCTCGCGCTAGCAGGATCAGTTAGCGGTCAAGATGGCGAGTCCTTTGTTGGCAGTTTGCTTTCAGGTAAAAATTGTCTTCATGATATACATGGGAATGAATAAGAGTATCTCGTGCAAAAATCTCGTCTAGCTTTGAGTTCCGCGCTTCTGTTGCTAAAACGCATCGGACGGAGTTATGACTCATCCGGATTGCTTTACTCCGGCGAAGAGCATATCACTTCATTCGAGTCCGCGAGGACAGACTTTAAGAGCTAATGTGAAAAAGATCACTGAGACTTCAAATTTCGATTCTGACCGGTGTTTTCGATCAACGAATTATGTAACGTTGCTCCAGAAGAAGCTCCAGAAAGAAGTGACGGTTTACCATCGAGGTTTCATTATGCGCGAATTTTGTGGTCTCACGCGGTTTATCGCGGAGACGGTTAAAGGACGAGGACGCGAATGAAGCTCGATTCTCGTGAAAACGCGCGATCCTTACGTTTGACAAAATTCGGCTCAACGACAGTGAAAACTAAATTCCATTATTTTATTTAACCTAATATCATTCCGATCTAATTGATTCGTTGGTTTATAATAAGTTATTCCGTACAAGAAAAAAGCCTGGTACTCGGAGAAAGAGGGGAAAAACATTGTTTTCGAATTCTTTTACTCTACATTGCAAATGTGTAGCTTGCAGTGATTTGAAAGTATTGAGAAGTTATTTTATAAATTCAATAAATTGATCCATGACCCATCAATTTATCGATTTAATTAATTTATTTGATTTGATGTCTTGACTTTAATCGATTTCACACATTCAATATTAATTGGACTAATATCTCAAGTTTATTTTACGTTATCATATCTTTTTACGCGCAGACCACCAAGATATGCACGTGTTGATTATCAGGCATTCCCGATCGGGTCTTCCCGGTAGCTTCGCACAATTGCGCCTATTCGATTTTCCGTCGCGACCTGCGACGATGAGTAGCGCGAGATTTTTGTACGCGATGCACGTAATATGGTCGACAAAAAGTTACCCGGTTGTCGTGGAGGTGGTGGTGATGGTGACGGTGATGATGGTGGAGGTGGAGGTGGTGGTGGTGGTTTCAAGAAATAGAAATTCGCGTGCGCCGACGTATGCGGCGCACGCTTTTATAGGTAGAATCTGGAAGGATGCGACTGTTCCACTTTGAGGAGTTGTATAGCGCTATGCGGATGACGGTCAATTCGCTGGCGGTAACAAGGCCGCCGCTAAGCTTAAAAACTAGGAAGCGACGCACTCGCGCTTGGCTCGCGTTCCTCGTGCAACGTTGTTACTTAGTTTTCAGTATCATTCGTCTATTTCTTCACGGAACGTATCGAAATCGTACATCGAATTTATCGAATCGGGAACCGGAAATCTAAAACTCCCGTCCTCTTCGCGGTTAAATGCGCAGATGAACTTTCAAAATGAATCAATGAATCAATACTACTCGGATCTTGGAAGACCAGGATTATTCATTCGACTGGTCAGTTCCTTGGAACTCGCGAAATCTGGATTTGCAAATTTTATAATAAGCTATTTGCTAAGGGGAAAAATTCCTTAGTTGCACAACATCGAGGTAGCACAAGACAGAAAATAAAAGTACAAATATAAAAAATAATAAAGTAAATATATAAGAATGGATGACTAAATAAATAAATAGGCAAAGAAATAACCAAAGTTAGGAAAAATTAGAATACATAAAGTAAACGTACAATTAAATAACTAAAAAAATAAATAGATGAATATAGGAATTATCAAACAATATTCGTTCATTCATTTCGCACCATCTATACGCGAGACAGCGAGCGAAAGGTGCGCTAAAATTGTAGAAACTGCGCGATCCTAATTAAATCGTACTCGTAATGCCTACATACACATATACACACACATACACATACACACACGTTGCGTGACATGGAAAATCATCCTACGGATTCGCAACGATAAGATTCCAATTGAACATTACGCATAGAAATCTGCCTTAATATTCACTTTGAGACACACAATTTGCCTTCTTTTCTGAAAAATTTTACATTCAATTATCCCGACAATCCGCATAAAATTATTCCAGTCGGACTAAACTGTTAAGAGAGAATGCCGACCATTATAAAATATGATCGCCATAAAGTTCCGGCGAATACTCGTCTCGGAGATGATAAAACTTTCTCTGGGATTTGTGCAATTGGTGATTCGTACTTTTTACAGCGACGAACCCGCGATATCGCTTCTCAACTATAACTATACGCGAGCTACGCGCTAAAACTATGACAACGCGGCCAGGGATCCTGCATAATAATCTGTCACCGGCCGAAATCGAGTCGTATCGCATTAGACAAGGCACGTGTGACGCTGAAGACAGCAATACGCGGCTATATCGAGTCGAGCAGCGCGTTGCTCATTAACTACCGTTATGTTTGTTTGGTCCGTTATGCCTGCCAAAGTGAAACTAGCCGGGGGAGTTGTATATCCGTGCGAATTTCTTGGTGTGCCCGCGCCCGCGTATATTGCATGTGACGAGTCGCGTATTCGCTGGCCACTTTTGCGCTTAACTTTCATCCACAACGTGGTGACGTCGGTCATTAACACGCAGCCGTGCGAGATTTCATCAGAGGCGGAGTTCGCGTCTCTGTGACGAACGAGCGTGCGTACGCGTTAGCGGGAACGCCGACACGACGTGCGCACGATATTTCGTTCGATCGCGGCAGTACGATTCATGTACACATACAGAACAATACACAGTGCAGTCAATGTTTCTTGAGTTTATGTCGATGCATCTGCGAATTTATCGCACAGATTTATCTAATTGTAAGCATCGGATTTACTCAGGATATATTCTAAATCCTAAAAAATTTAGTACTACAGCCGGGAACAGTGAATGGAACAATAATTGAGGCAAGAGTAACAAACAAATGTTAATTAAGGTTACATGATTATAATTAAGATCAAACAAATAGTTGAGACGAGATTAAATTGAGAACTCAGTCGATTTCCTGTATAGAGTATTAATTTTGTAGCACTTTTGAAAAAAGAGAATAAAATTTTTTTGAGTGCATAAAGGTAAGCTTTTCTCTCTGAAATTTATAATGGGTATATTTTAAGATTATTATTAAGAAAATATTCTTCGAAAGAATATTTTGGATCAGAATATTAGAAAATTTTTGATAGAGTCTTTTTTTCGAAGATAATAATTATTTAACAGAAGAAAAGTAAAGTAAGTAATCACTTTTTCATCGGTAAAGTGATATTTTTCTCTGTACGCTGCGAATTTACATCGACTCGATACGCTCACTGCACCGTAGTGACAATAAGAAACTTTGTTCCATCTATTTTATAATTATCTTAAAATCAGCGTTAACGTGCTAATTATTGTGTTAATTAGTTATATTTATCTCAGCCAAATTTGCGAACAAAATAAACTCATAATTATGGTACAAAAAATCCTTTCGCACGACAGTTACGAGATAACTTGTGTCTCGCAATGTTGATATGCTAAATGGTCGTACCAAAATTGAAATATCAACGTGAAAACGGTGCTACTGACAACGACACGTCAATGGAATCGTGAGGTATTCAATTTAGAAACGTCGGACGTTTGGATGAGTATAATTTGAAGCCGGTGTAACGGACGTCTTCAGGACGATTTCAGGACTCGACTCAGGAGGATATCTGTATGCTCGAGACAAGGATGTAACTTCATCAACGCTGAGAAATGAAAATTGCACAACTGTCTATGTTCTGAGGTTTTTCAAGACTGTTTTTCAACGCCTAGCATATATCCAGTCGTTTTTATCCGCTTGTTACGTTATCTTATAATCGAGAAAATCAAAGCGTCTTCCGGAGATCGCGGATGCAGAATGTCTTCGCGTGTACGTGATGTGATCTCGGATAAACAATCCTCTTCAGCTCGACTTGCTTGAAGGTTTGCTCCGAGGTTGATCCGCGAACAGAAAGTTTTCTCGCCGGTCGTTGGCTTCGTTTCCCGCAATTGTCAAGATCAAGTTCGGTCATCCTTGACTACTATGTGAGGCGGCCGCGCGGAATTACGTATGCAGGAATTTCTTCCGTTCGTCGACGGTGCCCACGTACCTGTAAATAGATATACAGTTACAATTAACGACGGATTAAGCGACGACGCGGCGGCAGCATAACAGTTGTAATTTCGTAAGAAGACTCTGCGCTCTCAGCTGCCACTGTCACGATGTGAGGTAATCGGATCGTCGTGGGAGCATCGGATTTGTTATTCCACGCCGCCGGCACACTCGAGAATCGATTAAACTCTCTTTCTTTCTTTCTTCCTTCGTCGCTCGACAACTTGAGCCGGGTGTAGCCGATGTGGGATTTGAGACCGTTACGATTCCGAACGCTATTGCTCGTAATTGTCCTCGTTGCTTCAACAATGAACTTGTAAACTTGTTTGTTTATTGTTTTCTTTTTATTCTTGTCTATGCGCTCTATTGAAACTGCAATTTCATCTGATCCGAATTCGACGCTCCATGTGGATATAATGACAAACGAATGGACCAGCGTGAGCTGCTCCAGTCCAAGATCCGTATTAATAATTGTCACTTGAAATTTGTCTCAAATTCTTATCCAGAGTCAGATGTTTAGTTAGATTTTTGGTTGAGTTTTTTGTTGAATCGTAATTACAGACATTACCGTCCCGTCACGTATATTTCATGACTCAGTCGAAAAATTTTAAATTTAAATTAACTCAAGTGAAGGAAGCTTCGAATAAAGACTATTAATACGATAATAATGTCAGATATAGTAAATAATTCAATTGAAAAACTGAAACCTGATTCTGAACTAAAATCTGAGTATCTCGTAGGAGGCAAATTTTATGTGATATCTATTAAGTTGCTTATTAACTATTAACTATTAATGCTCAAGTTCTAGAATTAGGATTGTTCTATGTTCTTCCAGTTTGCCTCTGCAAGTTGCAACATGCGACGTCGATCTATATCGTCCTTAGAACTTCCTGATGATCTTCGACTATTCATCAACTTGACCATATAAATGAAACTGCATAACACGTTCTAAAATCCTCGTGTGGTTTGTGCATGCACAGGTTTTTTACACCTGGTAGATACAGCGAAGACTGACGACTGTCCGGGAGTATGCATGTATGCGCTGCCGTTATTGATGTGCGATAAAGTTTTGGAGGAAGCACAGTGTCCCAGCGGTATGCGATGTTGCCTTGAAGACACAGTAAACGGCACCGGCTCGTCGTCTGAAAACGTCATCGACGACGAGGAGCCGACCTCGACCGTGTCTACGACGACGATGAAAACGACGACGATTTCTACGACTACACCCACGACAACTGCAACAACGCTCGGCACGTCTATTTCTCCAACTTCAGCAAAAACTACACCGGTACGTCCAGCAAACTTGGTATTAGAGAAAATAGACTAGGTTGACACGTTGATCTAGAGAGTTATTGACGGACAACGATAGATACGATCGTCATTGATACCATGTTTAATATTATGTTGAAGTTGGTAAACAGATCATTTTGCACGAGCTAATACGCGGTACTTGATGTAAACCAAATAAAAATATATTTAATAGTGGCCTTAACATAATAAGTATAGTAGACAAGTTCTCAAACGCAAGTTTTGCGTCCACAGGTCGGACCCTTTTCAATGGTCAGCATGAAGAAAATAAGCATACAATTACATTATAGTCAAATATGGTCGAAAACAACAAAATAAAAAACAGAAAGTAGAGATATTTCAAATTGATATTCTTAAACTTCCATAGATGAACTCGTACGTCGCTGCGGATTCGCAAATAATTATGGTGACTTCATTCGTAACTTATGCATCAAGTGTCGATCAAGGAGTCTTTTTGAATTCTTCCTTTCGTTAAATGACTTTGCGTTTCAATTTGGATTACTATTATATAGATTCTTGATCGAAGTAATTGTAATTACATTCTGTTTGTCCGAATCGTGCGCTTTGCGTCTTCTCGCGTTATCAATAGCACTGTATTCATTCTTTTTCCCAATTTATATTTATATTGTATAAATTATATCTTACATATTCTCTATATTCCGCAGGGAAGCTACAACGACACTAGCGACAAGTCATCCGGTACGTAAACGTTTGTATAAAATATAAACCTCTTTAATGTAATATCTTTCTCTTATATCTTTTTTGTAAGTTTCATATCTTAATATTATAAAAAGAATTTAACATTAGGATATATATATATATATATTTTTTTTTTCCGTAGAAGACTTCTTGCACATCATTATACTGAGAGAAAAATTAAGGGATTAAATCTGCAACTTTTTTCCACAAAAGCGGTGATTTACTTGATCTAGATAAAAGAATTTAGATTTAAATAAATATGTTATTGATATATTTGATATTTTTTAAATATCTTTCCTCTCAATGTAATTGCACGATAATTACCAGAGTTAAAACCGACGATGTTCGTTTCGATCTCAGTGAAAACGTGCTCGGGGATCTGCATGAGCGAGAGGATGGCCAATTACTGCGACGCCGTGCTAGTGATAGACACACTGTGCAAATCTGGCTTCAAGTGTTGCGTGTCCCGGGATGTCTTCGGCGATTCGCCGCCACCCGAGCTCTTGGTGATCGATCGCACGAAATCGAACGAGAATTCCTCTTACAACGAGAAGAACAGCGGCGGTGCGTTCAGCAAGACGTCGTCCACGCCAATGACGACGCGGCCAAACACATCGCTTTCAACCAGCGTCTCCACGACACTCACTACGACAACGACGACAACTACGATTATGACCACCAGACAACCACCGCCAATGCCGTTGACGACGACAACGACGACGGCAAGACCGGAGCCGTGCAGAGGAGAATGCATGAATGATCTATCGGCGTTGCTCTGCGATAACATCGACAGCTACGCGTATTGTCCAGCCGACGGGTTCATACTGACAGTTTGTTGCATGAACGAATCGTCACCTGCGAAAACGGTAACGTGATATTTACCATATTTCATGTTCTCACACAGTGATATTAGTTGCAGATATAGGAAGATTGCTCGAAAGCTATTGAGTTATTGCGTATCCTTAAAGATAGGGCATATATCTCTAAAATACAAATATGTCATACAAACTACCATATGCCTATTTGGATTCGGATTGAATCGAATCAAGTAAGATTCAATTCGGGTTCGAATCCTTGCTACTCGAATTCGAACTTTTCGACTTCGAAAATTTCGAATGGCGGAGATCAAAATACAGATCTCGCATATCTTGACAATCTTGGGGGAAGTTATATTCAATTTCTGCATTAATTAATCTCTCTTAAAATCCGCCGAATATTTTTTTCAACTTTTAAAAGGAATCAATCAACGCGAAATTAAATAATTACGAAGAAGTGAAGTGAAGTTCTTTTGAGCTATTTACGCCTATTTAATATTCTTCTATTAAAATAACATTGATTTTCTAAAATAAAAAGCCGAGAGAAAAAGAAAAATTAAGATTTACTGAACAGTATGGGATACGGAAGTACCATTTTGTTTCAGGAAACGACGACGACGACGACAACGATCCAGCCGTCCACGAAGGCTCCTCAACCGAAACAACCGCCATGTCCTGGCTTTTGCCTGCTGAACATTATGGCGGCATTCTGCGATCGGCCGAACATGTTTGTAGTGAAGCCGTCGAGCTGTCCTCCTGGGTCCTTCTGTTGCGACAACACAAAGAGTCCTCAGGTAAGTTATGTCATGTTGTTTGACTGTGAAGAACATTATAGCTTTTGTCCATATTAATTTTTTTCATGTTTTTATCATGTTTTTCAGTAGAAAACATGTGATAGTAAGAGTAGGTAAAGAACATAGTAATTTTTTTTTAATGGCAAGTTTCATTTCCTAAAATGTATAAATAGCACATCTAAGACGGAGCAAGAATAATAAGTTAAAGCGAAGTGTCGATATGTATCTCAATCATAAAATATAGTGATTTTCATCATAAAATTCTTTCCCCGCGTGCAAGAAAACAAGTGTATGTTTTACCATTCTTCAATTTATGTTTATAACAATAAGCTGCAACAACGTGTAAAACACCAATCTGTTTTACACGTTGTTTTACAATGCTAATTTCTTCGCAATCTATCCTTCATTTGCAGACCCCAAGACCAAAGCCGCGACCGCCTACAACCGTACCGCCGGACCCACGTCCGGAGTGTCCTGGTTCCTGCATCATGTCCTACTTGTCGTTCACCTGTTTCAGTAAGTACACGCGAAAACATGCCATTATCGGGGACAATCCTCATCTCATGCTTATTCATTCGCAGGAAACGCCGAGCTGACGAATCTGTTTAAGTGCAAGAAGCAAGGACACGAGTGCTGCGCTCCGAAGTCTCTGATAAGAAATGCCACGGAGCCGCTTCTGATGAATAGAAATGACACGTTCCACGTCACGCCCAGACCTTACACCACCCCGCTCACTACGTCGATTTGTAAGCAATTTCATTGTCCGCAGGAAAAAGATTTCCTGCGATGCAAAGCGATAAATAAGTTGATAATAATCAAGAAAAGTATACGTCTAAATCCAAATATTAGAGATACAAGTAAGTGGATTTGTTTTCAACATTTCGTGAACAATTTAGTTCATCTCACCAGGGAGAGGAGCAACCTGAAACCTGATACAGTACCACATTGTTCCTGTGTTTGGTGAAATTATATATCTTTTCCTTTAACGTGAACTCGTGCAAAAAAAAATTGGCAAATTCAATATTTGTCAATGAAACTTTTCACTTTTTACGAGTTTACGATAGAAGAAAAAACACGTGATCGATACTTAAGATGTTCACGAAACGTTGGAAATAGAGAGCAATCAAGAAGCCAAATTAAGTATTTCTTCAAATGGTAAATTCAAGTGTCACATTGTTAATTTCGCAGACGAAACAACAACTGTTAGCACCACCACCAGAAGTCCCGTATATAGCAAGTACGTTTGCGGCGTGAAAGGTACGTTTCGCGGGCCGATTCAGGCCCGAAATTCTAAGAGGAGTGCACGCGTAGTAGGAGGTGAAGATGCGGACGCCAACGAGTGGTGCTGGCAGGTCGCCTTGATCAATTCCCTCAACCAATATCTGTGCGGAGGTGCACTGATAGGAACACAATGGGTGCTCACCGCAGCGCACTGCGTCACAAAGTGAGTAAAATGATTTTTACAATCTTTTACAATCGGTATGAGCGAATCGGAAAACTGAATTAGGAAAGCTTGAGAACTAGCTTTCAGGTTAAAACCATATTTTTTGTGTATTTTTTTCGACGTTCTGTGAATATTTCAGGTTCGCTTGAGCGGAAAGGATATAGTAATCTGATTTTTCAAAAAGGACTTTTTAAACGAAGAAAATTTCTTTCGGAGAGAATTGTTTTTTACAAAAAATATTTCATCATATGGATTTGTTTCCAACGTTTCTTGGAACGTTTCCAACTTCCGGAAAAAATTTTCAAAAAATAAGAAAGCACTTGTTCACAGCATTGTCAGATCCGGCGACGCGATCTACGTGAGGGTGGGCGATCACGATCTCACCCGTAAATACGGAAGTCCCGGTGCTCAAACTTTGCGCGTCGCAACGACGTACATTCATCACAATCACAACAGCCAAACTCTCGACAACGATATCGCGTTGCTGAAGCTTCACGGTCAAGCGGAGCTGAAAGATGGAGTTTGTCTGGTTTGCTTGCCAGCGCGTGGGGTCAGTCACACAGCTGGCAAAAGGTGCACCGTCACCGGTTATGGATACATGGGAGAAGGTATCGTATTTTTTATATTATATTCTCTTTCATGAGAGAATCATCATGTTTGTTATGCAGTAATATAAATCTTTTCGCGGTGTGAAAAATTTTGGCTTCTGGATTAGAACTGTATTTCTTACGCATTTCTTCCGACTTTCTGTCAACATTTCAGTTTACTTCAGAAGTAACGCGACCCAATATTGAATCGCTTCTCAGTAGGATATTTATAAGTATTTCCTTATAAAAGTATTTTTTTAAAGAGATATTTAAAAGAGTATTTCTACATACTCTTTTAAAGATAAAAGTATCTTTATAAAAGTAGCAATATACGGCCGTCCAAACGTTGTTTCGACCCAGAAGTCAAAGTTCGCAAAATATACCTCATTGAAACAATATTCGTCGATATTCCACAGCTGGTCCTATACCTCTTCGGGTGCGTGAAGCAGAAATACCAATCGTCAGTGACGCTGAGTGCATCAGGAAAGTGAACGCTGTGACCGAGAAGATCTTTATCCTACCAGCCAGCAGTTTCTGCGCTGGCGGGGAACAAGGGAACGATGCATGTCAGGTCTGCTCACTTCTCCACAATGTCCCTTCAGATATTTCATAATTCGTCATATAATTGATATTTATATTCAACATGTTCGCTACCACATACTCCATCGCCTCATTGATGAGATGAACTTCGAAAAATTTTAAGAGCGACGCTGACAGCAAACATGTTAATGTGTCTATTAATTTCCACGTTTTGTCTAACGAAACATTGACGAGGCTTACATTTATTTACATTCAGGGTGACGGTGGAGGGCCCTTGGTATGTCAAGATGATGGCTTCTACGAACTGGCCGGACTGGTATCTTGGGGATTCGGTTGCGGCCGTCAAAATGTGCCGGGCGTGTATGTGAAAGTCTCCTCGTACATCGGCTGGATAAATCAGATCATATCAGTGAACAATCTTTAGCTTATTTCGCATACATCTCGAATATACATCTAAGACATTTATTTATTGACGGAACGTTCCCATACAACACGCATGTCTTAGAGATGTCTTCAAGACGTCTTATTGTTTTCAGGAGTCTTTTGGATGTCTTCAAGACACCTTTTAGACATGCGTATTGTGTGGGTTGTAGTACCTTCACGCGCTTGATGATACGTAGTACTATGTTACACGCACGGGTAGAGATATTGCGAGACAAAACGGTTCACAGGTCGCAGATCTGCGGTGTGTGTTCGGAAACGGGAGACTGATGCCAAAAACAATTCATTTCGTAAAGTGTGATGTCCGCGATGTGTTCGGCGGCGAGCGACGTAAGTTGTAAACACAGTGCAAACAACATGCGTTAATGTGTGCGAAAATTTCATTTGGTTTCTCTTATTTGTAAGTTACTTGAATTACGTCGCCGCAGCTAATATCAGCTTCGGGAACCCCGTTGATTCGATATTCCGACAATACTCTTTTCTTTCTTTTTGTACTTCGTTAATTGTGCCATCAAGTGCGTATATTGTTTCTAGATAACAAAGATATTTTTTTACGTGACATATGCTTCTGAATATAGATGACTGGATTATTGTTGATTAATTAATTAATAGTAGGGGAAAAGATATATGTGCGTTAGTTATTTATGTGTTAAATCATGTAACACGAGTAAGAGCCAATTTCATGAATATCGCTCGTAACTCCTCAAGTGGATAATATCGATTTATCCCTGTGTGAGTAGTATTCACTTATTAACGAAGATCTATTCGAAATCAAGCAATAATTTAGTAGTACAAGTATTACTATTGAATATTAACTAATCTCGTTTACTTGTGAGATTGGCTCTACTACACATCTCTCGTCGAAATTTTTGAATTTTTATATTTATTCTTATCGATCCTGAATATATATGATTATTCTTTGCTTTGTATATTATCGCTAATTATACATAAGTCGTCTGCTAAACAGAGTGTCTGACGATATATATAAAACTCTCGTATGCATATAGATTAAACCGAAAAAATTCATTATATATATGTATATATATATATATAGTAGATATATATATTATATATATGTATATATATAGTATGTATATATATATATATAATATAAGATATAGTAGAGGATTTTTTGTTCAGTTTGATCTAATCTGCAAGCACACAACGTCGCCATCACAGTTTCTTTAATAGATCGCGCAAGTTCATTCGCCAATCTTCTTCAATTATTAACTCAGAATTTTACATGGTTATTTGCAGAATGGTAGAGAAATTTTTGTTTAGCTTGACTTAATTTACACGTATATGAGGATTTTATATATTATCATCAGACACCCTACACACACACACACACACACACACACACACACACACACACACCACACACACACACGCACGCACACACACACACACACATATGTAAGAAAAATATATATATGAAACACACACACACACGCACACACGCACACACACATTTAAAATCTTTATTGTCGAATCCAAATGTTAGTATGTTGGATTGTACATCTTGATATCAAAGTTAGTAATTAAGCGCACTAAATATGTACTTCGTAAGCGGTTGTAAACAAAAATTTCTAGCGACTGTGCACACCATTCTGTCCTTGCATGATAAATTTTATAATAAAGAACAATAATTTATATTAAAAGCATACTTAATATATAAATCTGAACTGAGCTATATACAAATTCTACACATTTCTTTACATGAATATATCTACATAATTATATTAAAATCTACAAATAATAAGCAATTTCTAGTTCAAGAGGAGTAGTATTTGATTATACCTAAAACGACAATAAAATTCGCAGTGTATATTAATAGATTCATTCAGGCATCATATTTATCAAGTGCCTGTCGTTTTCCTCTTCTTCCCATAAGTGATTTCTTGATCTTTATTTTCTTCAATTGTGTAGTTTTGACATTCTCTTTATTATTCTGAAAAAGGATTTTTTTTTTTTAATTAAATCGCAGCAAAGTAGCAAAGCAGAGAACAACCATTTCTTTTACAATACTTTCATTTTCTCATACACTGTCTTCCCGGGTAGAAATTAGTTTTAATATTTTTATTATACATGTTCGTATAAAATGAATATATCAAAATAAAATCTGTTTTTACTGTTTATATGTAAATAATAAGTATACCTCTATATTAATTTCCGTTTCAGATTTAGGAGAAGATATTGAAATTCTGGAGAAATCAAATACAGATTTTTTGAAAGCATTAAAACCAAAAATCTCTTTGGCATTTGATTTTTTTATATTTGAATTAATGTACGGTGTGGACGAAGAGAGTGGTAAAAGACAATTTTCTTTCTTGTATAGTGTGGATGTGTTACTTATTGGTATATCTGACAGAGATAACAGTTTTTCTGGCGTAGATTTTTTCGTTAGTGTTGAATCCTATAAAAATAAACTTATTTATACCTACATTTATAAAATTTCTTTTTTCGAGTTGAGGATACATTAAAATTTCTTACGGATTCATCTGTTCCTTCTATGTTCTTTCTGCTTTCCCAAAATCTCTGAATAAGTTGTTTATGCGGCAATGTTGTTGTAAGTTCATGAGAATACAAAAATTCCTTTCTCGGTGGTGTTGCGCCTTTTCGTTGTAAGAAAAAAACGAAAATATCTAATATTATTATATATTCACACGCTTATTTTTAGCCAGATTAAATTGATAAATAAAATAACCTGTTTCAACGTCGCGATATGAGTTTTTGGTAAATTCGTCGATTTGCTGTTGCGATGTGCGCAATTCATTTGTCGACTTGTTACACCAGTTGTTTAATTCTGCGTCTTGTGTTATAAATTTATCGCTCATTATCGTAGAGAAATCTGAGATCTTGGACTGTATCTTTGCCAAAAATTCTTTGTGAATGAGATTCAAATCTTCGGTTGTTTTAGAGATAATCTGTAAAAAATATTAATAAAACATTATAAAAGTTATATCTATAATAAAAAAATATGGAAAATCAAATTAATCGCGTGTCTGCCGCTATACATACATCAGTTGTTGCAACTGCTTTGGTCTTATTCTCAATTATTTCCTTTTGTAACTGTTGCACGTTAGATTCTATATTACTGTTGTATTCTTTCAATGTAGCATTACCGGTATTTAAGTCTTGTTGCAAGTTACTGATGAGTGCATTTCCTTTCTCCGTAACAATTTTATCATATACTTGCGCCTATTTCAATAAGACAATAAGTTAATCATGACTGACAATTTCAGTTTGCAGAGTTAGGAAACAATTATTAGATTACAATTGGTAGATTAGTTTTATTTCATAGGTATATATATTTCATACAATGGATTGTGTTAAAGTCACTAAAGTTACCTCCTTAAAGTTACTGTCAATACTGCTCTTAATTTGAGATACATTATTTTGTACAAATGTCTGCAAATTATTCTGTGCAGTTATATCCGCGTTAGAATTTTGTGCTACTTGATCACATATATTACTACAAATTTTGTGAATTTGATAAGACCTATTAACATTTTCGGAATAACTTTTTTCACATTTGTCCAAGTGCATAAAATCATGAGAAAGATCCATCATTTTCTACAGAAACAAATATGTGTGATGTAATGCTGCGTTAACAACTATAAGATGTTAGCTATAAGTGTTATGAAAAATTATGAGAATTACACATAATATACCTTTCCAAATATTTTATAATTTTTAACCATCTGTTTTTGGTTTAGAAACATACAGTTAACATGTTCATTAATTTCGCTTAAATTTTCACGGAGACTATTGCATTCTTTAAGATGATATTTACAAGCGGTTTCTACAATATCTTTCGTATATACCGACACATCCTCTAATTTCCGAGAAATATCATTCTTTAGAGTCTGTAAATTCTGCGTGAAAGTCCCATTGTCTTTTAAGAGATTGCGAATGTCTGGCGCTAGTCTCGAACAAATGGTAGTTAATAAATTTTTCTCATACTCAATTATAGCCGACGTATCTTGGATGTTCTTATCTACAGAGTTGTTATAGTGCGCATACTAAAATATTTATGAAACAATCAACCGCGAATCACATGAGTAGCACTCATTAAAAGTTTATTATATTAAAAATTTACCATAACCGCTATATCCTTTATTAATTGTTCGGTTGTATCTGAACGACAAGTAACTAGATCTTTTAATATAGAAGGAACAAATTCTTTTATATTTTTAACTTCTGTGGCTATCTGACTTTCTATAAATATATAATAATGCATCAATTAATAAAATTTTCTGTTATACATAACGTCTATTAAGAATGTTCATTTAATTATAAAAGAAATTCTTATATTCTTACCTACTTCCTTTATTGACGAGAAAAACTGCTCAAGCTCTTTTGTGTGCACCATTAAGTTGTCTTCGATATCCTTAACGCGTTTTGTAAAGTCACTTTTCATTTGCATTCTAAGCTCTTTATTTTTCTCTTCTATTTTTCTGTATTAACACATTGTATTAATTTCGTTAAAAAGTTGCAAGCAACAGATTTCAGTAACATTATATTTGAGCCAGAGCCTCAAATAAAATAATTAAATACGTTTATGGAATATTGAGATTTTTCTAATTTTATTGTTAATTTTGGAAATCCACTTACGTTTGACGATCGAGAATTTCATGCAATTTTTGCGCATCCTCAGATGCTTCAACTACTACATTTAAAATACTTTCCGCTTGGTTGCGTAAAATCTTTTCGGTTGAAGCATGCATTTCCACCAAGTATTTCTGTTCGTCCTTACTATTTTCCATTTCCTTCAAAGAGTCTTGCAGCGATTGCAATGAATGCGTTAAATCATTCAATTCGCTTGTTTTCTTTGTTAGTTCGCTTGTTTGAGCATCATATTGTGATTGTACATCATTAAATATTTTCTACAATTACAACAAATAATAAATGTAACAATAAACTATTTTCAGCAAAAGTATACAAAATTTTGATTTAAAATTTACAAAGTAACAAAATATCGAAGTACGAAAATAAATATAATTTTTAACAAGTTATATAATTGTTATATAATTTGTAGATAATATTTCTTTTTGGTCATCTATATTGTTTTTTAGGCTTTAGGACTTGTCATTTCAAATTTTTATTTTTAAAATTTATAATTGAAAAATTAAAATTTATAATTTCAAAAATCCCAAAATGCGACATTTTAAAATATTTGTAAAACTTTTATGTGTGTGTGTCTTTTCAATTTTAGATTGGCCATATTACATCCACCATCTTAGATTTTAAATATCGAAATTTACTATTGAATAGAATGACACTCGAGAACTTTTGAATACTCAATTTTAAAAATACTAAAGTACTAGAAATACCAAAACGCAATACGTTTCCGCCAAGGGCTTAAGAAAAACGAATATAATTGTCATCAACTCAATCTTATCTCGCAAGAAATATTTCATATCAATTTAACATATTATATTAATATCAATTTTTTAAAATATTTTTATACTTGGATGACTTTTTAAGATATATGTGAACTTAAAAACTTTAAGTCTGCATACCTCTTTAGACTCAATACATTCTTCCATAGCTTTAAAATCATTTATCTGATCCTGTATCTTCTTCTTCTGCCAATTAATTAACGCATGCATAGAGTCATATTTATCCTGCGACAGATAGATGCCATTCTTATCTCGCGTTGCTGTCAAGTCCTTCCTAAGTCTTTCAACCTCCTCCGTGTATTCCTTCAGCGGTGCTCTCTTGAAGAGCCTCTGATTGATTTCCGGGCGATTGGTGATGTGTTTCGCCCGATATGCATAGTCCAACGTCGACAGTGTCTCGTCGACGTTGCTGCTCGCGGATGAAATGGTCGCGATTATCGAGGTTTTCGTACGTCCGCCTAACGACTCCTGCAGCAATCTTGTGAGCTTCGACTCCCGATACGGTATGTGAGGCGCCCTTTCTACAAGGGCGGTGATCACTCTGCCGAGAGTCAGCAGAGACTGATTGATGTTTCTCGTTTCCCTCGCTCTCTTGTCAACGGCTCCGGATTTGCTGACGTTCTCGCTGCCGGCCAGGTCTACCAGGTTCAATTTTGCTGTCTTCAACAGCTCCTCGCCATCGGGAGTATCCTCCTTCATATGTATAGTTATAGAGAACACTGTATGAGAACGACTCGAGTTGGAGTTCATCAATGTCGCTGCCGTTTGTCTTCTCTCCGAGCCTTTCTCGAGGATTTTGTAGACTTTTGTTTTGTTGCGAACAGTCACCTCCTCTAAACCATGTATGATAACTGAGCCTTTCTTTGACATATCCTCATATAACTTGATCTTTGTTGCATCGTGACTGCTTGGGCCCAAAAGGTCAAACAACTCCTCATTGTACAACTCCAGAAAATTGATCTTGACGACATACTGCTGGTTTTCTAGGAGCTGTAACTCATCAAATAAGTGGCTCAAGCAACGTGGTATCATGCCAGCAGATGTATCACTCTGCCAGTGTAAGCCAGGATCTTCCACACGACCACCTTCCATTGTATATGTCTTGCCGGTACCAGTTTGACCATAAGCAAACACAGTACAGCTATACCCAGCTAAAACTTCCTTCAACAGTGGCTTAATCACTGTATTATACACATCCAGTTGGGTAGATGTAGGTCCAAACACTTTGTCGAATGTAAACTTCTTTGCAACTTTATCCTGTGATCGCTCACATACTATTATTTCTTTCTCAGATGCTACTTGTACCACTGGAACTGCTGGTTTCTCACAATTTTTCCCTGATGTTCCTTTTTCACTCAAAGGCCTATTGTATTAAAAAAAAGAAGAAAAGACAAATGGAAAAAATATTCCATTGAATATACTTAATTATTTATTATTGTATTTTTTATATAAAATAAAATTGAAGTTAATTTCCAAACAGCACTAGTTATGCAGATGTCTAAAATATATCTTAAAGACGTAAAAAAACATCTAAAATAAATGGGATATCCATCAGAGATGTTTTTATAACATATCTTTATAACATTAACACATCTTTTAGATATTTATGCTGTCTAGGCTACATTCTAAGTCATATTTTTATTAAATCTGTGATAAGAGTATGTATATCAGGAGATTATATAATATTAAGTTTCTTTGTATTATAAAGCAATACAAAGCAAATCAAAACATTCTTATGACAGGCAAAAAATAGCAACAAGAGGAGGGAGCAAGCTAAGGTATGACCTTCATATTTAGCTTTTTCTTCATACCAGACAACAAAATCAAATGAATCAATAAATAAGATTTATCATGCGAGAAATTTCAATATTTCGTCAATATACATATTTGGTTTTAAGATGATCTGTTAATAAATAAGATTCGTATAAACTATTTCTACTCGTATCGACAAAGCATTGGCGACTAACTTACTTGACACGTACGAAGACGTTGACATGCTGATCTTTATTCCTTGACATCTTTCAAATCGGTTTTTTACACTTTACAAAATATAATCTCCTTATGTGGTGAAACGTGACGTTCACCTTACGATTAATTCTGCTCCAAATTAATACTGAAAGGACTCACTTGTGACAAACGTTATTTGAATTCTTTCAATTGCCTCAATCCCAAGGCATTATGGGTAAGATCTTGAGGGCGATCACAACGCCGATAACGAAACTCACGGTGGAATAGGAGTGTACTAAAATATGTGTATTGTGCCAGAGAGGAACGTGAGAGCAACCAACACGGCATTTTCAACGACACCGACTTTCCACACTGGGAAAGGGCGCCATCTGCATCCCTTTTGAGAGGGGAACTACAATGGCCGCGTTCAGTAGACTCAACAGTTGGACAACATTATTAGATTTTCCACCGAATCTCGCTCCTGATTGGTAAATATTTCCGGGTCTATGAAGAATCTAAAAGAATGCTCCAATCACAGACAATAATCACTAAGCGCTCACTGATCACTTTGTTCTACTGAACGCGGCCAATAGAAATCTAGGAAATAACGGAATAAATTCGATCGGAATCGATTCCGACGAGTTCCATAATAGGTACTCAGAACGAGATCTGGATAAATCAAAATTTGCAAGGAATGTCACTTGTGAAGGTATAAATTCTCGGTGATGACTGAGAAAGTTTAAAAAAAATTTTTTTTTAAACAAATTAAAATTTCTTGGAAGTCGATCAGTTTCATTAGAGTTCTGGTCAATTGCTAGATTTAAAAAGGACAATAGCTGAAAATTCAGTATTTTTGCTTGAAAAAACGAAACATATTAATCATTATCATAAAGTAGAATAGACATGAACCACACGATTTTACCGTCACCGAGAAATATATATAATGGAATAGTTTACACGCTCTTCTTCAGAGGGGACCTCTTGCAAATCTTCGGATGACCGGTCTCAGGGCTTTCCTTCTAAATTTAGTAAATAAACTTCCCTATATTTATCAATCAGCTCACATCATATGAGCCCATCATTAGCCCGCATGAGCGATAACGATAAAGGTTTGAGATCTTGGGTCACGGGAATACTTGGTTATTCATTTATTTTAGGAGATTGACTAAAAAATAGAATTTTATATTTGTAATTCGAGAACATAAATTTTTCATTATGGCAAACAAGATCAAAGTAAGAATTATTTCTAATTTGCACGTACAAATAAAACATTTTATTGTAGAATTACGATATAGAAGTTTATTGTATATTTTCATCAATGTATTTTTTTGTATCTCAGGTAGGAATAATATGTGGTTCAGGTTTGGGTATTTTTATAGAAGAAATGTTTGATTGTAGCAGTATTTCAAATTGTGAAGACATAGAAAATATATTTGGATATCCTACTAGCAATCTTTATCATGGATGTATCCATGGAGTGGATGTAGTGTTATTGTCCAGGTAAGATTGCTAATAAATTTATTCACTCCTAATTTGTCTTATTTGTTTATAATTTATTTTAAGTTTAGTTACATCTTCATTACTTATTGATATTGTTGCATTATACGATGTCTCTTTTCCTGACTTAACATAGACATGGCAAAGGACACTTAATCGGTCCTACAGCAATCAATTACCGTGCTAATATAGAAGCATTACGACTTGTTGGATGTACTCATATATTAGCATCTACAGCATGTGGATCGTTGATAGAATCTATTGGCAGAGGACAATTAGTTGTACCTGATAGTTTCCTAGATAGAACTAATTCTAGGAAAGGTACATTCTATGATGGAACTTCTAGCAAATACAAAGGTTAGTAAACTTTCTCAACTTATTATTTATAAAAGTTAATATATTGTTAATTAGTATATTAATGCATTATATCAAAACAAATTACAGGAGTATGCCATATGCCAATGGAACCTGCTTTTGATCCACGAACATCAGAGGTCTTGGTACAAGCTGCAAAGAGATTAGGATATAATGTGCAGAAAGGCGGAACTATAGTAACAATTGAAGGACCACGCTTCTCTTCTAAAGCAGAGAGTAAAGCATTTCGTCTTTGGGGTGGACATTTAATTAACATGACTACGTGTCCAGAAGTATACATATTAATAGATATACAGGGTCCGCCAAAAGTTCTGAAACAGCAAATTATTTCAAAAAATAATGATTGTTTCAAACATTGTTTTAAACAATCATTATTTTTTGAAATAATTAACCATTCCGGAACTTTTGGCAGACCCTGTATACATGTATAATGTAACAATATCACTTGAGTTTATGTTTATATTTTACTAGGTATGTCTAGCAAAAGAAGCAAATCTTCTATATGCAGCTATAGCAGTAGCAACAGATTATGATTGTTGGAAAGACTCTGGCGATATTGCTCATGCAGCTGATGTTATAGTTGTATTTAAAGAGAATGTTGCTAAAGTATGGAACATATTGCGAGAAGCAGTAAAATTAATTGGTTCTCAAGATTGGGAGCAAGATATTTCCGAGATGAAGGTAATATTTATTATTCATCATCAGGCATATTATTCAGTAAATTCTTTCATCCATATTTGGAGAATCATTTTTATACTTAGTATGTGTTAGAAAGCAACAATAAAAGAAATTATTTCTAGGCACTAATTGAAAGTAGTAATGTGTCGTCGAGCAGTTAGTATTATACGCATTGGATTATAACAGGGAGTTTCTAAATAGAACTTGCAAAATAGAATGAGGAAACTATATGCCACATATTTTTTTAAATATATAAATCATAAGGTAATACATAAGACGTAAATATCAATGTATTACAACGATTCTTTTATCATTTTTGACAAATTTTCGTAAAAATATACATATATAGGAAAGTTTTATATGAATCTTCTCATTACTCACATGGTAATTTTTATAATTAAATGTACTGAATACACATGAAAGTATCACATAAAATTACATACTTACGAAGATACATGCTACATTGTTTTATAATCATATAATTTATCACTTGGACACATGGCTTTGAATATATCTATTATTATGCCTATAGATAGATCGTATAACATAAAAATATATATAATCATAAAAATTATATGAACGATATAAAAAATGAAATTAGTATCGCTATATTTGGAAAGTATCTAATAATAAATAAATAAGAAATACTGACAATTGAACTTAATATTTATTATTTCTACAATTACATTTATCTATATAATTCACAGAAGTCAATTGACTGCATAATCATTTTTTTAACAATATCTACATATTGAACTGTCAATATATCTTTTTCATTAATACATGCCAGTGTTCACTTCTTCTTTGTGGATTTAAGAGGCAAAAACAGCGTATGATCGGTATTATCATTAATTTCTGCTAAATTTATGCTTAATTAAAACATACATTAACCTGCATAGCTTTGCAACTCAAAATGTAATGTACGATAATCCGATAGTATATAATACTATGTCATACATAGAACTTTCTTATATACAAGCAATTTACACTATGATCAACAACGTGAGAATTTAGGCTTGTTTTAACAACATGATTTGTTTTCAACGAACATATCTTTGTATTACAGTTTTATAACATATCATAATGTACATGATATTTGAAAAATTCACTTTGTGCAGTTTATAACATTATCAGTTTACAATATCGGTTATAAGTAGGTAAATTAAATTTACAGGTCGAATGAGAATAAACGAAAAAAAAAAAGAAAAAAAAACGCAATTACTATATTCCTATGGTTGATTGCAATCAATAACAAATATCTTTCGTTCTATATTTCTTAATACTTAATGATCAGTATTGTTTTCCTGGGAATTAAGTTCTAGAGAAACAGAAACTCGGTCAATTTATCAAGCATACAATATTCTTGATAATCACATGTTTTCAATAAATTTGCTATTTCAGTTTACTGAAATTTGGTCATTAATTGATAATTGTAACATATACGTTCAATATCGAAATTCTTAAACGCTGAACAATAATATAATATGATCGATTTTCTATACATATAAATAATTCTGTAAATCTACCTGCATATACGTCATGAACATGTGAAAAAAAAATGTTTTTTTTTTCTTTCGTAGTTATCAAATATTCGATATAATGAGATGTTATAAGAATGCATGACAAAATTTACCTCAGTATTCAACAGTAAGATTTTAATAGACAGTTTCATTGACACGAAAACTTCCAGGGCTGTGTTTAATACACACTTACTGATGATTATAGGTTCAGATATAATCATGTCATCAAATAGCTGCGCAATGACACGTACTGAGTACGACAATCGTCGTTAAACATGTATAGATAAAGCAATAATAGTGTCGTAACATTTTTATCGAAAAGATGACAGTCGCACTGATGGCATTATCCGACTTGTTATTATCAATATGTCATTTTCATTTAATATCGCGGATCTATCTTACCGCTAGATTCACTTTCCTAAATTGCGAATAACATTCATTTTGTTATTAAATGTACGACATACTCAGTGTGAACGTCTTTCTTTATATATATATATATATATATAAAACAAGGTATATAGATCTTTTGCATAAATCTAATTCTCTTACACGTTAATGTAAAGACAGGCGTTTCAATTTTTTGTATACAATGAATCAATCAACAGGTAGAGTTGCTGCTCCACTTGAAAATAATACGCATGTCAATGTTGTCATACATCGTGTTACTTTATATAAAATAAATTGCGCAATTTCCCCAACTACAGAATTTTCAAAAAATCAACAAGTAAATTAACGAAATTCAACAAATTGCGGTTGCAGATATTAGACGATGACTACATAATCAAAAATATATAACTGTGACAAAGATTGCTTAAGACTTTAATCTCTGTTATTATACATAATTTCGTTCTCTTTTCTTTTTTTAATACATAAGGGAAATATGTATAAGGGAATGCACGAACTATTATGCACAGTTCAGAGTAATATTACAGTTTATACAGGATTTCACGTTTATTGGCTTAAAAAAATAACGATTTTCGAGGAGAACCATGTGGCTATTAATAACTCCAACGTGAATCGATTGTGTGATTATAACATAAAGACTAAGAAAAAATCCGAAAGTATTTTCGAAAAATGCAGCGTTTTTTCTCATACACAAATATACACAGGCGAAAAACTCGTACGCACCTGCCACCAAATTCCTGATGTAATAAGAATTATGTCATTCAGACACAAATAAAATGGGAAGTGCGACTTTTCTGAGAAGTAAAATGGACTTTGGCGATTAGACCTTATTGTCGACCATACCCACATTGATCTTGTAATAGACGTATGGAAAATAATCACTCTGACCAAAACCCAGTCCCGGTATATCTACATTCTGTCGAAATAAAAAAATTTCCTCATTGATTATACATTTGTTTTGTATAAAAAATACAGAAATTAAAATTCATCAATTTGTTAAGATATCCATTTGTAAACATAATATACTTTATACATGTCTTAACTTACATCCTGATTGTGTTGCGCAGCTGTCGAAGCTGTGGCAGATGAGTCTAGATGAGCATAAAGCTGATTTAGAACATCACGCAATCGTCTCGCACATTTCTTATGCGGATGCAACAGTATTGCTTGGAAATTGACGGGTAAGCCGTATCTACAAATTACAAGTGTTAAAATACGCCGTAGTGATCTGACATTTTGCGTCAGGTATATTTCCATTAATTCAAAATACCTAAGAACAGATTCAACAAATACACGCAGAGCTTTAACATGGATCCAAGCGCAAAAGCACTCACTGAAGTTTACTTTCAGCCAACGCACAAGAGGACCAAATTGTTTCTTTTTATCAGTCACTAACTTTGTGATTTCATTTTTTCCTGTAAAAAAAAGTGCAATCATATCTATCAAATAAAATGTATATATTTTACGTACATATAGATATATACATGAATTCTTATTCTAAGAATATCTATAACATATTATCTTTCATCGTACATTTATACATTCCTAAATTATTATATTATATTAGTTCAAAGAGATAATCATTTTGACAAACCTGCTGCCAACTCCTCCTCATTATACGTAAAATCCCGTACGATAAATTTCTTTTCACGAGCGTGCAACTTGAATTCGTCAATGACTTTCTTAAACAAAGTCACCGTAAACAATCCATACTCCGAATCTTGAGTGATGAGCTGCGTAGTACGCGGCACGATCATATCCGTCAATTTTTCATAACCGCTGTACCAATCCTGGAAGTTAGACCTGAAAACATCGGAATTTATTAAATGCGTTCATTATATAAAGATAGATTTAGCGTCATTGTCAAAAGTATACTGTGAATAAGTGTACTCACTTCGGTACGATCACAAGTAAAGTAGATAAATATTCACTGTCCAGAATAAAATGTTCCTTTTTTACTAGGTCTGCTAAATTTCGCGTTAATAAACTTCCCCTGTTGAAGAACGTCGTGAGTGTAATTTTTTTGCAGTGACCAGTCGATTGTAATTTGCGCAAGAGACATAGAACTCACGTCTGTTTCTTTTCAAGATTTTGTAAGCTGCCTTTCAAATTGTTATATATCGTGGACTTAGTCTTCAGATCAGCATCGATTTGCCCCACTTGCTTACTGATAATATCTGCGATATTTCTTAGAGACTGTTTGATGGGGTATTTAGCCATGTCCCACTGGAATCGAGTTATATATGATGGCAGATCACCTAGTGAAGTTGAAGCATTAATCCAATTGTTTTTGAAGGACAAGTTCTGATATACAACTTTGTATAAGCACAGAACTTCAGAATTACTTAACTAAGATATATAATCGGGACATTTTTTCAGCAATGAATAGAGAGAAACATATTTAGACACTACAAGTGTGTCGTGAATGTACAATTAAACAAATCCATTTTAAGCAAGTTTCTTAAGCTCTGCACATGTTGTCAACATAGAAAAATATTTCATATGTGTATCATTATAATAAATTTAGAAATAGAAGTTCATTTAAAGTAATGTTGTTAGAGAAGGATAATATTCAAACGGTGAGATAGAGAAAGGAATGATTTGCACACAAACAACTCTTTTGATTGTAGTATGCTTCTCACTTGTTAGCATTAAAGAAATAAGCAGAGCATACACAAAAGAATATATATCATGCGACCGATAATGAATATATTCATAAATAAATTCATTTAAAAGTTCGTGAAAAGCTCACTCTCTTATCACAAAAGTGTGTAACACATTCATCCATTTTCTGTATTATTTGCATCAAAATCTATCAATAAAATCCACTGTTTGAAAAATATTGATTCTGTTTATAAACCAATGATCTCTCGAGGTGATCTCTAGATCTGTACACATGCAAATCTTAGTAATACCTTGATAACTCATATCATAATAATATTCTTTGCAACTCTTGTCAAATGCAGCACTATATATCTATATACTAATAAAAAAAATTATCTACTCAATTATCTCAAGTCAAACGGGATAAATTCTCATACACATGCATATATAGACTTCTCAGTTTTGTATATAATATATAAATCTCAGTTTCTTTTCAAATTTCTCTAGTTTGTTTTGGCATACTAATATAAAAATTATTTCTCTATAAATGTATCTTTTCTCAGACATGTGCAAGACTTCACTAACACATGTGATTAGCCACTGCAAATAGATGTGCAATAATGCAACATAATAAAATAAGCGTAGTAGCCGAAATAAACAAGCAACTTATGACAACTGCTTATGCATAGAATGGTAATAATATGCTGTATTTCTCTTCTTAAGTGAATGACATGACATGACATGAAAAGTTCTTCTGATTCTCGTATGCTCATATCCGAGAATTATCAAACACTTGCTTTTATATTCAAATAATCCACCACATACAGAGTAATATTATAAATTTATGTACCGATCGATAAGCACTCTTGATTCATACTAATACCATCTTGTGCTGTAATCTGTGCTACTGTCTGATATTGTTTCGTATGTATATATTGGTCTCTTCTTAAATGAAAAAAAAAAAAAAAATCAAAGCAATTATCAGAAGGGAATTAAATGTTAACGCTAGGAAAATAAAAAATATAATCTGGAATAAAATCATTGGAATAGGATAGAAATGCGACGAGTGTTTATGTGAATTTGTCTAAGTGTTGGTTTTCTATTCTCATTAAAGTTTGTCCAAGTCTATTTTTATAAATTCAACCTAGTCATCGATTAACAACCCCTGTAACGATCAGGCAATTTCCATCGAGACTGCGTGTCCCGATTAATCGTTATTATTCAAAATTCCTCTTCAACAAGTTGAGATGGATACTGCTGGGAAAATTTCGGATTTGCCTGCACTCAACTTAAAGTACAATTTTGTTCTTCTCGGAGCGAGTGCGTGCTTCGTTTACATCCTGCGTACACACGTATATGCACAAATGATACCAAACAAACGAAAACAGCAGAGTAGTAATTTGAACTAAGAAATCAAATAATAGCCGATAATTGGCAGCGGAAGCGATACACGATGAAAGCTACTGAAAAATGGACAAAAAGTAGAGAACTAATCAGAAAAAGAAGCTAAATTGGTGGACAACCGAATATATATATATGCGATATATCTATATCGTCTGTACAAAATGGAATAGTCAATTTTGTGTGTTCACACAGGTTTGTGTACTTATACACAACCAATATAAAGCAAGAGTGAAGATAAATGAGCTAAAAGTATACTAAAAATACAGCAGCAATATCTCGAAGAAAGAAAATAAATTGTGGGAAAGACGGTGTGCACACTCATAATTAGGATGTGCTACGATATGATGAATCTCCTCCGGTAGCTTCCGATTTACTCAAGTCAATCGCATTTGCCGAGTGCATCGTGGAAAAGATCTCGTTTTCAGTTCTCCAGATGCCAAAAGTCGAGAAAGAAAAAATAAGTTAATCGATTCATTAAAAAATGTCACATGCTTCAATTTTAACAGGAGAGAGATTGTACAACGCAATATAATTTAGAAGTACCGTAATTATATTGTTCCTTCACTTCTTCTTCGCTCATCTCATCTTCGCTCTGACAATTCTTCATTCTGTAAATTATGACGGTGTCTCGACTCTGACAACCTCTCTCTCTTTCTCTCTCTCTCTCTCTCTCTTTCTCTCTCTCTCTCTTACGTTTTACGTTTTTTATTTTCTTCTAATTTTTCTCACGTTTATCTTCCAAGAATACGCGACACGACATCGAGTCACCAAACGATCGAGACACGTGGTGCACAGGACAACGGGATGGACTAAGCTTCGCGGCTATGTCAAGGAGAAGAAGGGAAAGAGTGTGTGTGTGTGTGTGTGTGACGGGGTCTCGAATCCGACGGCAGTGGCGGGACGGGTACCTGGATTCGGCAAATTGCCACTATGGTCTTGGTCTTGGTCGTTGTTTTGGTCCACATCGTCATCGTCGTCGTTATCATCATCACCATCATCGCCGAGCGATTTGCGCGTGGATCGATTTGGTTTCTCAGCAGCCCGAGGACGCGACGGCTGCTGCCATCCGGACTCTCCTTCGCTGCTACAGTTCGATGAGTGGGAAGGGGTCGGACTCGCGGGAACGGGACTCGAGGGTGGCGTTGAGGGTGTAGAAGCAATGCACCAATGAGCATGGTAGCATGAATATATCGACGAGGGATAGCTGGGCGCTTTGACATCGCAGATGCCCTGGAGATCGTACGACAGCTTCTTTTCGAACGCGGGGAAATGACTGTGATGCTGCTTATGGGAGTTATGATGATGATGGTGATGATTAGGATGATGGTGGTGGTGATGGTAGTGGTGGTGATGATGGTAGTGATGGTGGTGGTGGTCATGGTCATGGTCGTGGTCGTGGTCGTGGTCGTGGTAATGATGACGTTGGTGATGATGCTGACCTAAACAGGCGGCCGGCTCTGGCTCGGACTTCTCCAATTCCCTCCACTGCCTGTGATGCCCCGTCGTAGTCTTGTGTGATGGTGTGACGGGAGTATTTGGCGGGGTGTCCGGACCCCCTTCGGGGCTCGAGCTCTCACCCTCCACTGATGTCTGACCTATCCATTACAGCCCAGTCCCAATCTCCGCGCGATCTTTCTTATGTTTTGCTCAACTATTATTGTCTCCTACGCAAATGCCTAACGACAATGCTGACGAAACTGAAGACGAACGTAACCCAAGAAAAAAAAAAAAACGGAGTATTTAGCGCAAATCACTTTGCTTGATTACACGTTGTAGGATTCATAGTTATGAATTTAGGACTACTATAGACCAATCAAATATTAATGATGAATTAAATACACCATAAATAATTCTAACTGTAAATGGATATATAATAAATAATGACAGGAAAAATAACAATTTTAAGAAATACAAAGTACTTTTATACAGGAAATAAATAGATAAAGATAATACAAAATGCTTAGTGACATATATTAAGGTACTGAATATTTTAAATATAATTTAATACTTTAATAATTTAACACTTTAAATCCAAAGTTTCTCGAATTTAAATCTCATACCGATCGCATGTGCAAGTTGCACTCGCTGATGTATGCAATCAAACATTTTTTATTGGCTATGATATTTACGCAATTAAATACTCCGATATATTGCGAAAGCAACGATGAAGTAGAAACCAAGCAACAAAACAGAAATATATGAACATGAGTAATACTGACGGACACATGTGTACTGAGAGAAGTAAAAAAGTAATAATCGTTGAAAATCGTTTTGAAATTATACGGTGCATCGCAAAAACGTACTAATACGAAAGGAGAATCGATTAAGAAACCAAGGGAAATGAAATCTCGTAGTGGCTAATTAGAGCTTGGTGACCACAGTAACCCAAACGACTCTTCGCGTCCTTCAGAAGGTCTTTTTCCAACACGCGTGTGGTCCATCAGATCGATAATAATGCCGTCCACAATGCCGTTTCGTCTGTCCTCTACACAATGTTATGTATTCGTGCCTTGAGAAGTCTCTTTTTTATATACCTTAGCACAAGTCTCTTTGCATGGTGCATATGTATGAACATTTATCAATAAAATAATAAGAGTTGGGGAAAAACAGGGTTAATGTGGTCAAAGTTAACAAAAGTATAAGCCAAGCAACATCACGAATAATTGAGAAATGATCTGTAGTAGATAATAAATAAAAACATGTTTCAACTAAACACAGTAATAAGCGCTCTACAGATATATCAACTATGTACTATTGTACATGGAACATATCATTTACATATGTGTGTTTCACACACACATATACACAGCAATACAATACAATTCAACATCAACATATTATATGGAATATGTTAAAAATATGTAAATTATTCTATCCAAGTAATACCAAGTCGAGAATGTATATTATCGATATGTATATCGATCGTATATGTAATATTATCGACAAAATAAATATTACGATAAACATTGTACAAGGAAACTTCATGAAAGTACTTTCTTTCCGATTCAATGATATACACCATGTACAAAGATGTTAATACATATATACTACAGGAGAATTTTGTCTGTATTCACATGTCTATTGAAACATGCAAGGATATTTTGTAATGCTATTTTAATGTATATTATATTCACGACATAATAACCCGTTGATATACAGACAAAATTATTGAAACTTTATTCTATATTCTATTAGATTATATGATATAGGATACATACATAAAGAGGGGAGGGGGGAGATAGGAATTATGCTTTTCTAAAATCGAACTTATTATTATCTCCAATAAATTAAGTAAAATCTGGGTTAATTGTAACTGATAGTTATCGAAGATCATTGAGAGAAAGTAACTCGAAATAGTGTGCATGTTTCGTGTTATGTATGGTATTCATTGGTGCATTAATCAACATTACTCTAAATTGTAGAGTATCACAAGAAACGACGATAGATAACCGATCGATGCCTCTCTTTACAAGGGTCCAAAAATATTCTTTTCTTTTTTACCAGTAATTAGTGGCGCTATTTCCGCAACTAACCCTTTTGCATGTGCCAAGTGTACAACTTGCGCAATGCATATTTATCCAAATGGAATACCGAATTGTAAGAATCAAGATCTTGCTATAGATTTGCATCCTCTAATCTACTCACATATCTACTCTCGATTCTGTTACCTATTAAATCATGTATTTGAATAAAAGTGCAATTATTTTGTCATATCTGTCAATAATTTCTCGTGCGTGTACTTATCGAACATTATCTGGCACTCGAGAGGAATGTAAAGGTGATTCAATGGATATAGATAAATGCAGATAACACAGTTTGGACCCTAGATAAGCAACTTTCTTTTTGTGGAAAATATTATCAAGAAAATACAGAGGTCCAAGAGAAATAACAAATTATGAGGCATATATTTGTACTCACTGTTGTTAGCCATCAGGTTTTCATGCAGCTTGTCCCTCTGGTCTTCCAGAACCTCTCCCAGATACGTTGCCACCTTACGTGTTACTTGTTCCACAAATGCATCAAGCTTGCCGAGATCATCTGACAGGCCAACTAGTTGATCCAATGTCCCAACCTTCAGGTCTGGGATATGAAATTTGTAGTTTACTGACAATGAGTGTTGCTTGGATGTTAAATTGTTCATAGTTTCCCATGTCTGTTGACAGGTTTTGTCACCCGGTGCTGATATCAGCCAGTATTCTGTCATCTTGAGTAATGTGTTTTGTAACTAAATTTTTAATACACCTGAAATAGAAATATAGTTTACAAGATTGTCTCTACACAAATTATGCCAGTTCTTTATATCCAAATCTCAAACATAAAACCTGACATTTGCAACTTTGTGTATCCAAGATTCAGAAACACTGAAACAGCAAGGTATGTATGAAATATCTCTAATTAAAGTCAACTTGTGTTCATACGATACAACACAGTGAACAACTATAATAACGCATTAATCTTGCTAGATGCAGAAGTCGATTCTCTCCAAACAACCACCTGCTATCAGAGCGCTTATCAGTCACCAAGCCATCAGATATACAACTGTATGCACACTGTGTCGCTTGCGTGCGTACAATTTCAATTTGCGGTAGCACGAGCATAATGATCAGATCGAACGTCGAGAAGGTGATTGAAATAAATTTGCGACTTGCAGAGACTCCCGACAGGAGCACGGAAGAAGGGGGTGTGGCACAAGCATTGTCTGCTTCGTGTTATGTAATTAGGCGCGTTTTCCACGTGACCATACGAAGAATGGCGCGCCGAAGCCGCAGGTACAATCGATATAGGAGGCCAACGACGAGGAGCCGTCGCATCCTTGAACAGGTATATTGTTTCCATGAGGGTGGCTCTATACATCGAGAAAAATAGATGTCGTCTCGGCCGGCTAATTCAATGGCGCCGAGCCTCTCCGTTCGCGAAGAGATCAATAATAGTGCGTGGCGATGCGTCGCGGATGGGAACGCGGAGAAATGTACGCGCTATGTCGAAGTTGGCGTATACGCGCGGGATCATCTCGTCGGGGAAAATCAACAGGATTCGCGCGATACGTTCGACTGATTCGACATCGTCGCTCGGATCGATGGTGCGCAGGATTAACGCGTGACGTTCCCGACACTGATAGAAATCGCTCCGCAGACTGCCAGCGACATGGAATGCGAAGTGCGATGTACATACCGGGTTCGCCGAGTCTCGTCGTCGTGGAATCGGTGCGACAAGTGCAACGGCTGCGACGGGCTGTTCGCCGCGGAGAATTCAAAGGATCCCGTAAGCTGGACGTTGCTCACGGACGAGACCATCAGACACCATTGTGATCTCTCACGTGATGACAATTGTGTGCTGCTGCCTTACGACTCACCCTACAACTAAACCGTAAACGAAACACACTGTGCCGTCAGCTGACTTGGCGCCCGACCGTGAAGCAGGGTGGCCAATCGGTCGCCGCTGGATTAATCGAGCTGATGTCCCAAATTGATGCTGTACTATTCACTAGTTTGACAGTCACTAGCAAGTTCCAACCAACCGTGCCCGTTTCTGGCTACTCGGTTATTATAGATCTGTTTTTTATCGCTGAACTAGTGTACACTCAGAGAACATAAAAAGAAGTAGATATACATCTAGGAGTAAAAGGGGGCAGAGAAGAAGAGAATTGGTTTGTTCTTTGTAGCTGTACTGTTGAACTGGTGCAATATGTTAAAGTGAGACAAATATAGGTTTTCTCACTCTAGCTTATTGCACCAGTTCAGCAGTGCAGCTACAAAGAACAGACCAAATAAGTGCAAGTTAGTGCAGCCAGTTCAGCAATAGAGAAAACAAACCTCTTGAATCTGTTCTTTTTAGCTACACTGCTGAACTGGTGCAATAAGTTAGAGTGAGGAGAAATATAGTGGTCCTACTCTAACTTGTATTGGTTCAGCAATGCAGCTAAAAAGAACAGACTATAAAGGCTCGTCTACAATAGCTGTAAGAGTAATAAAAATAGATCAATCACAATCGACTATTTACAAGAATAATCTATTGTGATTGGTCTATTTTTATTCTTATTGCCTGTTGCCTGACATTGTGCAAGAGGCTTAAATCTTTTGCTATTACTGAACTTTTCTGCACTATTTTACACCAATCCTCTTTTCCTCTTTTTCCAACAAATTTTAACTGTATATGTCTCTTTCTTTCTAAAATTAGAATTTGTATTTAGTAATATAGAACAACTTCTTATATTCTTGTATCATGTTATCCACATGATTGATCTCAAGGAAAATGGCTGATAATCACTATCATGTGACAAATAATTTCATTCTGACGACTTTTAATTTAGATTCTTATGCTAAGTTTATGCTGTTATAAATTATTCGACCTGTGTAAACTAAGTTAAAACTACTTCGTAAAATACAGTATAGAGTTATTTATTCCTGTTATTTTATATGTCACCTAATATATTTATTAAATTCTATAATATATACATACATATAAGTTAAGAAAATCACAAAATTTGTGATTTTCCAATAAAACGTTTTATTTTACTGCAATTTGTTTCACATTTGATTACTAACTTAATAAATAAGCCATGCAAAACGTTTATAAAATTGAAAGATTTGTCATATGATCCAAGTACTTTGAAAAAGAAATAGAGATAGGGTAGAACGAGTTTGGGATCATATATCTTCCATAATTTTTATGCTTTGTTAGTACTACATATGATATAGATAATTGTAATGAAAAAATATCAATAAAAAATTATAATTAATATTAATTTCTTTTTAGCACAATGGACACACAAATTGAGGATTTTATGGAGTTCACACACTTATGCGAATTTTTTGAAAAAGTTCGAACATCCAGAATAAAAAAGGAGAAAATAGAAATTTTGAAGACATTTTTCAACCAATATAGGAATAATGCCAGCAAAGTGCAAAATACACATGGTGGCAATTTGGTATGTACCATAACATATTGAAATATAAAGATGGAAATGTTATGTAATTTTCATATTTGTTTTTATAAGTTTTTGGAAATTTTAGATTTTAGTTAGATTTTAAAAAGAAAGATACAAAATTTTTTTAGAATTTAAAATTATAAAAAAATGGTATGTCTTACAAACATTTCAATCTCATTTATTCAGATTTTTTCTAGGGACAAAATTACAATGAGATAAAAAAGAATGGATATAAAAATTATTTAAGAATTAATGATAACTATCAATATGTCAAAATTTGTTTATATCTCAATACACAATTACAAATGTGATCTAGATGCCAGAATTAAAGTCCTTCTGATCTATATTAGAAATAACAAATTTTTATTGTATCAAACACATTGAATATAATAACTTTATTAAACACATTGGAAACAAGATTTTTGCTAGTTAGTATCTAGATAATAGACAATCTATTTGAAAGCATAACATATTTTTCTCAGTTCTGTCTCTTTCTTTCTTAAGATTATAAGTATTGATTTAACTTTTGTTTTAGGATGAAATTATGTACCCAATACTTAGATTGATATTACCAAAATATTACTCCATAAAGGATTATGACAGCCGTAAAAAGGAAACGAAACATTCGTTGACAATTCTTTATGCCAATGTGTGTCAATTATCAAAACAAAGTGATGATTATAAAGCTTTAGTCAATTCTCGGTTGGTATTGTCATATTGTATCAGTACTATTCAATATCGATGTACGTATTTTGGTTTTGGAATTAACAGGGAATCAGTACAAATCAGTAGAAAAACTATCGCAGTTAAATTATGAGAACACGCTTTAGAAAAACCACAAACGTTTAATAAGACTTAAGATGTCTTATACAATTAATCTTGGGCTTTCAATCATCACATGTCTTCCATTTAATCTTGCTGCATTAATTTTCTGTTAATCCCGACGCAGAAGTATATCGATAAATTTTCAGTGGTGTGCGGATGCAACAAGATAATTTTGTTAATGTAAAATATATATTTCTCAATTTTCTTCATATAGTCTCCTATAAAGTATGAAATATTACATTTCAGGAATCTTACATCAGATAAATTTGAGAAAAATGATTTTGCTGAATGTGCTTACTTTGTATTCCAAAAATTCTTATCCCAACATAGTACCAAGATCGCACTTGCGGACATAAATAAATTCCTCGACGATATTAGCAATAAAAAGATGCAACAAAAGATCGAATTATTTAGACTTATTTTTAGGCGAATGACTGGATTCCAAATGAAATGGTTAACAAGAATTATTCTTCAGGACTTACAGCTCGGCATAAAAGCAGAAGATATATTGGATGGTATATAATTTTGCAGTAACACGAATTATTCAACGTATCTGAAAAGTTAATCCATTATTTTCCAGTTCTCGATATCAAGTCGTACAATACCAGTTTGAGGAATTGTACAATTTATGACTCTTCTAAGAAAATGAAACAAAATGTGCAACTATTCTCGCATTTTAAACCAATGCTCTTGGAGAGATTGAGTATTGATGACATTTGTAAACTGTTTTCGACCTCGAAAAATTACTACGTACAAACCAAGTACGATGGTGAGAGGTCTCAAATTCATATGTCTCATGGAAGATATAAATATTTTACGCGTAATGGATTTGAGATAACAAAGAAACCTCTGTTGGGAGGAATTGATTCATTGGGTATGTTACGAAGATGTTACGAAGACTAAGAACGAACAACATACTGTGAACATAAAAAGAAAAATAGCAATTGGATATGTTTTTAATTTGTTTTCAGAGCTATAGTAATTTCCAATATTTTTATTCACCATTCATATCCATCAACAGGTTATCTGTCTGTTAAGTTTGCACAATTTCTGGACCCAGATTGTACTTCTTTTATATTAGACGGAGAATTAATGGTTTGGAATAAGAAGGAGAAAGCGTTGCTCACGAAAGGTATGAAGGTCGATGTGAAGTTTCTACAGACGGTGGGTCCTTATCGACCGTGTTTCATCGCGTTCGATATAATTATGTATAATGATATCTCGCTCCTTGATATACCTTATCATAGGAGGCTAAAACAACTCGAAAATTTATTAATTAAAGCACATGGCGCTATAAGTGCGTGTGAGACTACTCCTATTGATGATAGGTAAGATATCACTTGGTTTCGATATTGCGTTAATTTTAAGTGATCCAAAGTGATCTTTCGGAAATTTAACATATTCTTATACTTTATTTTCGCATCTTGTACTTTATTTTGCATATACTATATATATACTTTTGAAAATTAATGTCAAACCGGGTGAAAACATACGACAAATCACATAAGAAGTCACTACAAAAAAGATGAATTGAATTAATTGTTAAAACTTTGATTCGGATAATGTTATTCATTATTATTTTTTATCCTAAGGACCCAACTAGAAGATATATTTCGCTCTAAATGTCTCCAAGGAAAAGAAGAAGGCATTGTTGTAAAACGTCATGATTTCTTGTATAAACCAAATGTTCGGGATGGCGGCGGTTGTTACAAGATTAAAGCGGAGGTAAATTATTCAGAGATTTTCTGACATTTATTTTTTTAGTAACTTTCTTTAATTGCTTCACTTTTGTGTCTTTTCTTTTGTTTTATTTCCTTCGCGTATTTTTTTTTTATTTTTGTAATTTATACTATCATGTTCTATAATTTAGAAAATTTATTTTTTTAATTTTTTGGTTATTCTGTCTTTTTGCTTTTATATTACTTTTGTATACTAAAACGAATTTTCCCTATCTAATAAAAATTATTATCAAATATGTTGTAATAATAAAAAAAAATTCTTTTTGCAGTATTCGGACAATTTAGTGCAAGATTTAGATTTGATTATACTTGGCGGTTCTTACACAAAAAACAAGTTTCCAAAACAACTCAATAGCCTTATAATGGGTGCTGCCATTCCAGCGAGTAGCGAAGAAGAGCATCCGTCGTCATTTATGGTAATCGTGTCTGTGAGCAATGGGCTAAGCAAGGAAGAGTGGAATTTTCTCGAAGAGCGATTCTCGTCAAAATGGGTAGAAGAATGTCCCGAGAACATTTTAACCTACGCAACAGTAAAGATTCTTTTGTTAAATTATGTGTATTAGATATGATAATTATCTGATGAATATTTCAATGCATAAAGTAGAATCGGTTGCAGTTTCGGAAAGGCCCATTTTCCGATTCTCATGAAAATCGAAAAGTGAAGTAGTCTCAAATTCCTTCAAACGAATTCCTTCAACTCTGAAAGGTTATTAAGAGCAATTAAAAATAACTGAGATTAATATTCAAATAATGAACGCAACTTCTAAACGCAATTTCTAAAAGACTATTTTAACAATTTCCATGAGAGTCAGAAGTTGGACCTTTTCGAAACTAAATCCGTAGATACTTCGCTGTATCCTGATTCAAGTTATTATAGAACAATCATACACTACATGATGAAATTTCTTACAGAGAACTCAATCCGATATGTGGCTTCGTCCAGAGGATTCCATGATTTTAACGATACGAGCGACCGAGATGGTGCCCAGTAATAAGCATCTAATTGGATACAGTTTTCGGTTTCCTAGAGTCATGCATATCAGGCAGGATAAACCGTGGTACAGTGCGTGTACCAATAAGGAAATCTTGTCTTTAGTCAAAGTAAGTAACCTGCGACGATGCTTATCAGTTACATGTTTACATTATTTTTTTATGGCATATTAACCATTATAGAACAAGAAAGCAATCCATAAGTTAATTAAGCCTGAAGCTAATCTACACAATAACGAGGATTTGCTTGAACTATCGGGATGTACATCAGATAAGCCAAGAATACTGACACGACCTTGGAGCGGACAAATTGCGCACGTTGCGTTTGAAAAACCAGTAATACACACGCGACTGTTAGAAGGTAAAGAAATCTGTGTGATAAACGGAACCGACGATTTTTCGAAGGAGGATATTGAAAAGGTATTGATGCAGCACAGCGCAAATATCGTGAGCAATCCAATATCAACAACTTACTGTACAATAGTAGGCAAAAATAATACGGTAAGAAATAATGATAGTTTCGCTATTATCGCGCAACTTCGATTTACGAAATATGCGTAGTTTCTAACACATTAACTGTCAAACAAAAACCTCGTAGCTGCGCACACGAAATTAATTCTATATTTTATTATACTAATTACGAGTTGACCCTCACGTAATATTTTAATAAAAATTAAATTTAATTTAGTGTCAAGGATATTCAGTTTCCAATATATATTTGAAGGTTACTAAAAAAATCCGTAAAATCAATCTTATTGTGCATAATTACCAAAATTAATATTAATATTAATATCAATTGACATAAATTAAAATTAAATAGCATATTAAAGCAATACGTTGATTTTTAAAACATGATTTTTAACGTCGGGAATAGAGTTCCTTGATGTCAACGTGGCAATCAACATGTTAAAAGACTTGTGCAAATTGCTTTTTCAGATACGAGCATTGGACGTTATAAAGAACCACGATAACGTAGTATCTTTCGATTGGTTCTTGCGCGTTACATCTGATCAGAAATCATCGATTTCTATACATCCGTGGGAATTGTTAAGCAAATCGAAGAATCCTTCTGATTCCTCTATGGAATACGACATATATTACGATTATTATTATATTGATGCGACTGCGTCAACTTTGCAACATTCATTCGCCAGGATCGACGAATTAGTAATATTAAAGATATTGTAATTAAGATTTACGAAGAGTACTTATATTTAGTGCTCGTCGTATTAAATAAATTTATCGCACTATTTTAAGTTTATATAAACTATTTTTAGGACCTTGATGCAGAAATCTCTCGAGATTCACGAGAAACGTTGTCTCCTTATACATTCCGGGGCTTGAATGGATTCTTTAATAAAAATATGACCTTCGAAAAACTTATATTTCGTGATCAAGAAGGTACGATCAAAGAAAATTTTGATAATTCCGTTACACATGTATTTGTGAAGACGAATTATATTGCGAGTGATTTGAAAATGTACGAGGATGCAGGTGCAAAAGTTGTCAAATCTGAATGGATCACCGAATGTTTCTTTCATGACAAATTCCTCAACATTGAAGACTATCTGATTGATTTAAGTAACTAATGGATTATTACGCAAAATGTTTCAAATAAATATACCACACACATTTTCACATTATGTATAATATAATGATAATGTAATGTATATATTATAATGTATATATATATTGTATGTATATATATATATATATATATATATATATATATAAATTAATTTATAATATACAGCATGTATTATATAATATTATATATAATAATTATGTATAATGTGAAAATATGTTATGTTTTCTACAAAAGCTCACGATATTCATGGAATCGTCTTAGCTCACACACATTCGTTAAACACTAAGAAACTGGGTACTAAGCGGAGTGACAGTCGGACAGTTCGCTCATTTAACATCTTCCCGTTTCGAAATATTTCTTCTTGACTTGCGGCCCGCCACCCTCTCTTGCTCATCTCGTTTTATTTCATCGGAATGCGCGCAAAATACGAAGCGAAAGAGACGCAGCTGCGACGTTTCTCTTACAAAGCCCGCCATTCAGAGAGAACTCACGTATATCAACGTGAAAAGTTAGCGCGGCAGGATTTTAGACTCACCATGTTAAAAATGTATAAAAGTATACTTTTATCTCTGAGATATTTCGGTTTGATATTCAGCTTTTCCGTCTCGCCCTTACTTCCTCGTTTGTATTTATAATTTTTAAATTAGAAAAAAAATAAAATAAGCGAAGAAATATGCTTTAGACCGACGTGTTCGTAGTAGAGTCCGGTTTCAACAGAAATGAGTATATCTCTGTCAACAAGAAAAGTCGACTGATGTGGATACATACAGGACGAGGCATGTAAAGCGTGATAGATGAATATCTCCAAAAGTATTAACGACAGGACATTTTATAAGATAAAGTTGAAGTGTTTCAGTTGATTTGGATATATTTATTTTTTCTACGTGATTGCATACAGGCTGTTTCAAGATCATCAGGTTCTTTGTAAAGAGACTATATATTTTTGCAATATGCAATTGTGCAAGTGTACGATTTACAATTGTACAATTTTAATGTAGAATTGTATTGTATCGAGATGAATTCAATTATTGATTTATTTATATGAAGAAAAATAAATGTATCCAGAAGATGCAAACCTTGAAACATTTTAACTATGATAAATTTACTATCGTCATTAATATTTTTGAAGATATTCGACCGTGAAACGCCTCACCTTTGTATACGTGAGTAGTTTATTGTGGGTTAATCGATGAATACCAGACCCTTCGAGGATCCAGATTCTTGCGAGCTCGAATATATTACATATTGTACACGCATCAGTTAGGTCGAGCGGCCATCTCGTTAGCAAAGAGGAGGTGTCTCGTCTACCAGGTCAGTATAAATAATATATGAATATGACTGACGTTCTGCCCGCGTGAGAGATCTACTTATAGACTCTTCACCTACAGATGGGACGCGTATTAATCGAGTTTCAGATTTTCGGAGCGTCTGACCAGGCGTGTCACTCTTTGTGGTACGTCCAATTTATTCATAGAACCTAGTAGCTAACTCACTAGTTGCCAATTATACATGGTTACTCGTAACTATCGCCTATCGCACGATACCCACGATTACGCGTGATATTCTACTATATAATATTTATTCTACTCATGTAATGTCAACCTCAGTAGGCATATTTAAACGCGTGAATGCGATCACTTCGCGAATCGTCGACACGTGTGATTCACCAGATTCGTGGCAGTTTGCTAATTGAGGCAGATACTTCAATCGTGAAAACTCAATCCAGTTGTGCGCCTGTTATTTTTTCCTCTCTATTCCAAACCGCAAAAGACGAGGATATGATCTGGAATTTTTCCCGTGCAAAATGCAATTGTGTTTCACGCGATTGGGTCAAAAAGGGATGCTTGACATTTCTGCGTAATTGATGCAAGAATTTTCATCGTTCGCCATCTTCGAATGATTTAGTGTTTCGTTTTCGCAATCCTATAACATATTTTTGCATTTATTCTTTGATATGCATCAGCAGCAATCAAATAGATACCTGGGAAAAAATGATTGTATATAAATTTTGTCTCTATATGTCCACATTGAAGAGATGTGATACAAATACAATTGCTTATGTTTGTGGCAGACATTTGATTGTGTCGACATTTAATTGAATTAAATTCTATCTTTTTTTCATTTAACAGCATTTTGTTTATGTGAAAACATATATAATTATATATATATAAAATTATATATATATATATATATATAATTTTATATAATTATGTATTTTTTCCGGTTTGTAAAGATATCAACATTAACAGAAGTTATTTTAGCCTAATGAATTTATGACAAGATGAATTTATGATAAGATGTTTTTACATTACACACCGTTGTCTTCTTCAATAAAAATTTCGTTGTATGCAACAAGTTTTTATACAACCGCGCTCAGTATGTTCAGTTGCAATCATTGATATTACGTCGTCATCTTGCACCCTGATAAATAATTAGGAAATTTAATCAACAAGATTTCTACATTAAACATATCATATTAATAATTAAGCGTATAAATGTGTCCCAATTGCAATTGCTCGACTCAGTGTTAATTGAAAGGCAATGAACTCACAGTTGTATTGGCTTGTTACATCCACATGGATAACGTTTATTTTGCCTCCTGCATTGCAAAAATAGAAATAAACGCTATATATATATATAATTTATAAATGAATATACAATAATAAATAAATGAATATACATGTGAAAATATTAAATATATAATAGAAATAATATAAAAATACATAAAATAATAAATAATATATATATAAATATATAATTAATTTCTATTTTTACTTCATTAATCACTAAAGTTTTTTTCAATTAAGAAAAGTAAAATTTCTGTCGTTGTTACCAACAGGTTGAGGTAAAAATTGCTGGGGAATCTCATTAACTTACCCCTTGGTGCATTCACATCTGTCTGGTCGTCTAGTGTGTAGAAATTCGTGCGTATTATTAATATCAACGTTGACAATGGGATAATTACAGTGTCACCAGTCATAGAAAACGCAATCCTTTTCCGCGCGTCCAACTCCGGTAGGAAATAAAGCAATACGAGCTCCACCGAAGCGAAAGCTCCGGAGGAAGATACGCGTGCATGACCAGTCTGACTCACTTTTCGCCTTTCTGTCTCAGTAATTCCCTCATTCTCGCTCCGCATACACAACTTTTCTTACTGTCGGGCAAAAACAGCATTATTCCTGACGTCGTTTTGATTTGGCCCACATGTCGAGGTCGCTCACTTTTCTCTCAGGAATCCCACGTAGAGAAACAGCATCCCGGTGAAGCCAATAATGAACTTCCCGAGATACCAAGCGAAATTACTTGTGCAGTATGATGACATATCGTTGATATGCCGAGCAATCAAATTGACAGTCCACTTCGCTCGATATAATTCGATATTTCGATGAAGCTATCGACATTTTAGTGGTTACTTAAAATTTATCTGAAATGATTTGAATTTAAAGTTATATGTAAATTTTTTCATGGAATTGCGGCTGCAAATATATCACGATTCAAATGAAAAAATCGGATCTAACTCTAAATGCAAATCTGAATATCTTACTCGAGACAAGTTTCAAGTAAAATATTCAAATCTGAACTTAAAGTTAGGTACAGATTTGTTGGTTAAAAGGTCAAGTTTTTCTAGGTACGTTTGTTTGCATATCCGGCCTTAAATCTTGATCAATATCAATTAAAAGTATAAAATGCACCGTCATGAATTTCTGTGATTTTCCGAAAATATTACAAACCAGTCGTTGGACCGTTTTGATAGTTTCAACGTTAACATCGATTGATATTCATGGAAAAGAATCCTTCGGTTATTATGCTGTCGCGCCGAAAGCAGAAGTTGCGCTGTCTTCCTTCGACCGATGTTTCGTCCCGAACGGATAAGTGTAAAACGGTCTCGTCGATTCGAGTATCCGAAGAAACATGACATCGGCCCTGCCGTGCTTCCTCGTGATCTCCAAGCGCGACTAAAGCGAGGAAGATGTTGAATGACCTGTCGACATATTTGCCGTCTTGACAACACCCTCGGGCAGAAGTACCTAGCAGCGAAGAAAAGAAGTAAAAAAAGTGTCCGAGATGACACCCCTTCGTTCCACGCTCATTAGGATGCATTCCTCGGTACATGTCACGCGTGCGTACCGGCACGTGTAAATTTAAACTTGTCTAACCGCGCGACTTTGGGGAAGCCAAAGAAAAGAAACCGTAGTAACGTGTCACTGAATGGAATAAACCGCGGAAAATTACAAAAGACTCTGGAGCATCGAACGACCGTGCATCGGTTGAGATTCTGTTAAAAATTTTCCACCAACGAGGACCCTCTGAATCCTTCGGCGTATTTCCAAGGATGCGGTGAATAATATCTCCAAAAGTCAGGATATTCCGATCGCTCTATTCGCGTCTATCCATTTTTAGGTACAGCGCTATTTACACTTATCCGATGTCCCTCCATTAAGACAACACCGAAGTTCCAAAATAAGAAAAAAAGCAGAGAACTCAAAGGGTTAAGACTCCGTCGGGAGAAAGAGAAATGAACCGTTAACATCACCGAGAAGCGACAATTAGCCGTCGGTCTTGCGGTCGATACGCTAGCGCGATCTCTTTCCCGTGGTCCGGTACACACGTCGTGTTGTGCACCGCAAAAATAGAAGACAGACAATCTCGCTCTACTAACAACGTTATGCGCCGGCAGCTGCAACCATATGGCATTCTTTCTGTGATCTTGCTCTCTAAGAGCTCGTTAATACGATCCTCTCGGATGTTGCCAACACACAGTTAATATTAGTTTCGAGTATGTTTTCCTAACGTATGAGTGGCACCGTGGACTTCCACCGGGGAGTCTCTTTCCCGGCGACCACCTGGTTAACATCCTGCTCGTACACTCGATATTATCTCTTTCTCTCTCTTTCTCTCTCTCTCTTTCTCTCCCTCTCTTTCTCTGAAAAAAATATCACATCTATACGTTAATACGCGTCGCCTGATTCACGGCGGAGAAAAGCGGAAGCGGAAGATATTTGCCGTGTATATCACCGAGGTGAGGATCGAACAACATCGTGTGGAATGTAACAAACGGAGGAACGAAACCGGGTAAATTCATCCGCTTTGTTTCCGCACGCTTCCTTGCGCGCGTGTATCAGCTTCCTCTTTCTCCCCTTCTTCTTCCTTCTTCTCCTGTGCGTGCCTAACGAAACATCGCTGCGTTTCTCTGTGATCGTGCGAACTGTAATCAAACAAGCCAGCCGGTTAACGGGAGATTTTTCTTTCTCGAGGAGTTACAAACTATACTCGTACAACAGGAAGGACGCGAGGAAGAGAAGCATAGAGCGATCCATTGGCTCGCCGTCGACGAGAGCGGCGGAGTTTCTCGGACTCTCGGGCCAATGGCAACACGTCGGCCTTCTAAAAATACATTTTGAATCAGTAGGAGGAGATGAGACGACACCTCCTCTTCGCGCGAAGAACAAGAAGTATTCTTGCAAGTATATCTATCTCCTCCAGCGGGACGTATCGGTAATCTAGTCGACGCATCCGAGAAGAGCCGGACGGATATACGCAAGCGTGGTATCGTGATCTGAATGAAGAAAATCGCGTGTAATCCCGCCTGCGTGATCGGCGACGGTCCTTAATGAAATTATCGCGTGTCTCGAGAGGGTAAATATACACGTATTGAAACAGCGAAAAGAGAAACACTCCCCCCCGCAGAGAGAGAGTTCGGTTTTCTCCGCGTAAAAGGCGCGAAACCGGCCGATGTGCAGAATCCTTGTTTTGTTACTTGAGAACTGAAGAAGACTAAGTCTAGACACAAATAATGTATACATTGTGAACGAAATCTGTACGTAGAGCATTCTCGACGATACAATTCGCACGGAAGCAACGAAATTACCCGATCTAAGGTGAACGTCTCAATCAGTGACGGAGCAACTTCATCGTGAAGAGAAATTAATAAGTTAATGATACAAATAAATAAATGCATCTGTCAAGCAAATTGGGGAGCTCGAACGTTTGGGCTTTTAAACGTGTTATATTTGTCTATTTTATGAAAAGATTTCTATGCATTTTTATCTCCTCAGGAATGAAGAACCATTTTGTGATATGACAATTTAGTCCTGTCTCTTTCATTGACAGTTTAATTTCGATGAAGTTGAAAAATAAATTTAACCAATGGACATATTCAGTATTAACTATCGGTTCTTAAGATGTCGGCGAGTAACTGCCAAGTGTCGCCGTTAGCAATACTTGTAATTATGACGTTTCGGTGTTTACTCAAATTTTATTCGAAACTTGTAACTTGTAATATATGAAAGTTAGAATAAGAACATATGTTTAGGACAAATATAAACTCGTATGAGCGGATTTATTAAGAGAAACGGGTGCAATCATCACCAATTGGAACATTCACCAAGCGAGTCTTACACGGCGTTCTGCGTGTAAATTGTATCGCGTTACATGATTTTATATGTGCATATTTCGAAACGAATTTTGACACTTTCTCTGATAATTTTTTTTTATTCCGTAGTCCTTGTCGTTCGCTTATCGAACAGACAGATGCGATGCGATATCAATGTTCATAGACTCGATGTTTAATCGAAACTTACATACTTTAGAGACGGCCGGATACGCGATTATGTCATTCGATGGTGAATAATACAGAGCTCGAGATGAAAACCGACGGGGGCTCTTCGAACCGTCTGAACCCGAGCATGGAGCAACGTTTGCGGAGCCCCAAGTGCGCGAGATGCCGGAACCACGGTGTGATATCCGGTCTGAAGGGTCACAAGAGATCCTGCGCATGGAAGGACTGCCGATGTCCTTGTTGTCTGTTGGTCGTTGAGAGGCAGCGGGTGATGGCAGCGCAAGTTGCTCTGCGTAGGCAGCAACAGGCGCAAGGCGACAATCTGTTGTCTTCAGCGAACAAATCGCCGACGGACACCGCGAGTCCTTATTACGTTAAGGGGAAATACGACGAGTCGGACGCGGTCTGCGGTAGAAGAACGAAGAACTTTCAGAGGCACCACTTGCATTTCACGCAGACTAGCATCAGCGTGACGCAGGGTTTCTACGGATTGAACGCCATACATGGTTTACCTGGTGCGTGTGAGTACCTACAATCAGAAGCAAGTGTCTGAAATATTAAGGATAGTAATCGAGTATTTACAAGATTCTTCTCCTCGTCAGTTTTTTGAACATTTGAACTGTATATGTAAAAAATGCTATTTCTCTCTGGGATATTTGGGAAAGTGTATTTATAAGTTAATTTATATCAAAGGTACGGGGGAAAAAAGGGCGGTAAAGACTAAATAGCATTTGGCTCTTGTGTGTTCTTTTGTTTATATTTTCTATTTGAATCAAAGAGAAAAAGAGGAAAGGAAAAAGGAGATAATTATAATCATTTAAGTAACTTTTATATTATTTAAAAATTAAAAACTTTATCTATTAATATATTTCTTGTCTCTTATTATATCATTGTTTGAGAAGAAAATATTTAGCTTTTAGATGTTTCATTTTGAAATTTGAAAATTGATTATTTATGAGTATTCCTAATATGGTGATACAAGTGCGTGTAAAAAAAAACGAGATTACATGAAATGCAAAAAATTCATCCAATATTTCAGTATCGCCGCATCCGCGATTGTTAGGTACCTTATCGTCGATGGGATGTAATCAAAAGCAAGAAGCCGAGTCCACGTTGAAAGTGCAATCTTACCATTCTGCGTGTCCGACGATCCCGTGGCTTAATGAGGTAACACAATCGTACATAACGAATGAGGACCTGAACAATTTTATCTCTACCCGGCCGGACTCACGGGGTTGCGCTACCACAAACAGCGAATCTCACTTGGAAAAGAAAACGCCAATCTCCTTCAGCGTAGAATCTATCATCGGCACAAAATGATGTCCGCGATGTCTGTATTTTAATCTCGTGATATAATAATCTTATATACATTGGTTAAATGAAAATTTTTATAAATGTTGCGCAAATTGTTCAGTAGAAAAGAGAAACGTATATATATATCGAATCTTTGTATATTGCAATAATGTACAATATATATTTAATGACTATACATTAAAAAAAATCTGTTAACAATGTTTATATAGAATTTATTGTTCTATACTTAGATATCAATCAGCAAATATATATATATATATATTATCACATCACATACGCACTCGTACACACACGCACATAAAATTGTCCCTGTACATGTACCTTGTACACTTCACCTACATGTTGATGCAGTAAATTCGAACGTGACGCTTGCACGTGATACAAGTATAACATCGTATATCATAAATAAAAATTAATAAAACAATATTACTTGTCGATCTCGAGCGTTTTGCTGCAGCGTTTCATGTACACGTCCATCTCGGAAAAATCGGACAAAGTGTTATAAATTATTTCATGCAGAACGCACGGCCACTGCTTCTCTAGAATCTGCAACTTCTGTATGGCGTTTACAGTGAGACTGATTAAATTTAGCAAGTGTACTTTTCCTTTGTGTCTCCAAATAAGATCTTCCTATGAAAGCAAATTAAACAGATATGCCCTAGTTACAACAATATCCTTTTACACTTTATCATTTTTGCAATAGTATATTCTAATTTACAATTATGATAAACAACTTGTGATAAAAGAACCAACATTACATTTATCTTTTATTTTACCTGTGTCACGTTTCCCTTCCTCCATTGCAACGCTTCCTTGGCAACGACACTTCTAAGTGCCAAATCGCAGTTGAATAAAAATTGTTTGGCAGTGATTTGCTCCCCGCTTTGTCTTTGCACTTTTTCTAAGTGAAGTCTTTGCAACAAAGGTTGCAATAAAGAGTCTGGCAGTGAACATGTTACTATATCTATGAGACCTGCATATTCTTGGTTGGCAAGCTCAATCTCTTCGGTTGTAATCTGCAGAAATATTATATTTGTTTGAATCAATAAACAAATCTGATAAAACAGGATTCCTCAAAGTATCTGAGAGTATCATCGTACCTCCTTGCCGTTAATAACCGTAAGTCCCCAGTGAGCTAATCGAAATATAGCGTACATCTTCCAATCCTTAGACACAATAGGATTCCCTGCGTCTATCTGTATACTGGTTAATCCTTGTACCTCAGCTAAAGCGTTCAGCTGACCGAGAAGACTGATGTTGGTTTCTTTGAATACGAAATGTTCCGCGTGAGGGAATCTACCTTTCAGTTTACTCAGCACTCTCGCCACGTCGTTAAATTGCACATAATTAAATTTCACGACATTAACATCCTGGGCCTTCGACACGTCCCAGGTTTTATCTATATAACGCAAGGCACCTTGGCCATAAATGTTCAAACATCGACCAACAATTTCTATCAAATAATCCCCACCTAGAAGAACAGTATCCCATGTCATATCTCACGTATGAAAGAGAAAATAAGGCGTGTGCGAAGAAAAAAAAAGAGGAATGCTATAGCCTACCCTGCTCCCTGTCCTTAGGCACTGCTTGTTGCGGAGGCGGACTTGGTGGTGCAAGGGCTTTGAATTTCGCTCTAGCTGTCGCAGCTCTGTTGCTCTTATAATACACCACCTTCTTCACTTGAGCGCTCTTAATTCTACCTTTCTCCTTATCGCAATCGTGAGACTTATGAGCTACTGTATTCTTGGGTATTGACGAGCCACTAGAATCGCTTAACAATGATTTACAACTGTCTAAACTACTAGCCTTTGAGCTTAAGGAGCAATATCCAGAGGAGCTTACGGTTGACTTAGATTGACAATCGCTTGACCCGTCTTGATTATAGAATACCTTCACATTCTGAAGCAATCTACTGTTTAAGCTTTTGTTTTCGCTCGTTACTATATCGCAATATTTCAAAGGTTTCCGTGTCGCAGAGAGAGCTGTTTTATCTTGTCCTTGGTTCTCGTTATCTTCGCCGTGCAAATTGTCCGTTCTAATCGGGGCTATATCTTTGGCTGCAGTGAACTGCTTAGAAATAGCAGACTTGTCGCAATCGGCTGAGACACAATTGTTAGTAGGAAACAGATGACACCTTAAACCACTCTTCAAGCTCTCGTGACTCTCTGAACTGTCTAAATCACTGTCCGACGTGTTTTCGATATCGCTAAGTGTTTTCATTCTATCAATTTTTTCTTTACCATCTTTAGACAATCCCTCTTCAAATTTATCGCTCGTTAAGCTATCTACTATAGAACCTAGTATAGGTGGAAGCTTAAATTCCAAAGGATATGATCTAGACGTATCTTCCAATTTAAGCAAATTATCGCTAGAGCTGCTTCTCTTTTTTATATGTATCTTCCTTGCTTCCACATTTTCGTTTATGGATGTTAAGCTGCCGAAGCCTTTCGCTTTGGTCTTGTCTAGGTTCTTCAGTACTTTTACAGTATTGAATTTATTCGGATTTTGCATGTGTAGTATATTGATGCCGTTGCCTTTGATGTTGCCCGCCGTTTTATTAGAACTATCAACGGAAACTTTACTCCTAGATCTGAGAAGTTCCCAATTTATTTTGGCATTCGATATCACTTCTTCCCTACGTACGTTCATGCAAACTTGCGTGCTAAGATCAAGGAACGCCGAGTTAGATTGTTCCTTCGAAAATCTCCAAGCCATTGCTGTTCTCCGAATCTGTTCACTAATTTGCATTGTCGATAAAAGCTGAAGATTTGGCAAGTACGACACGAGAAAGGAGATATAATCGGCATTTAAAGTTACTGGATTGCCATCTATTGTTATTTCTTTGATTTGCAAGGCCTTCGCAAGACTGCCCAGATCCTCAATCCTGGAAAACATCAAGATCATCTGAGATATATGTACAATATAATTTTACGAAGTCATACTTCTGTTACTAACTTGAAAGAATAATTTTTACACACTACTCACCTATGAATGTCATTGTTACTCAGATACAATTTCTGTAATTGTGGTGTCTCACCAAATCCTAACAACTTCTTTAATTTATTCCGACGTAGATTGAGTTCTTTTAGCGATATCAAGCCTTGAAAGTCACTGCAGCCTATATTCTTAATACTATTCCCAGCTAAGTTGAGTACTTTTAACGACAATAGATCTTCCAAGCCGGTAATCTGTTGAATTTGATTGCCATGCAAATCCAAAACTTCTAGCTTTGAAAGCTGCTTTAAACCTTCAATCTTTCTTATTCTGTTCTTCCCTATCAATAATACTCTTAAATTTTCCAAAAGACCAAGATCACATACTTTCTCTATTTGATTATCATATAAATCAAGAAATCTTAGTCAGAAGATTGTGCTGAAGAGACATCAATCTCAATTTTGGTTCCCCAATCACAGTAGGAAATGTTGTCAGACCCCGCCTGTCAAGGCATATTCTGTCAGGGTTCTTCTCTCGTTCGGCAGATGTTCTCGATGCCACAACTGTCCTTGATTCTCCTGTCCATTGTAACGTAACCACATCGCATATCCCAGCCTCTGCATGTTCAATCTCAAATGGAGTTCCCGTGGAACTGTCAATGCCAAATATATCATTTATAGATATAAAAGGGCATCTATGCATTTATATTAAGCAGCAAACTGAATGCTGTTCTGTTTCATCTTGCAAACAATTACCTGAATGAGTTGTAGGAATGCTTCAATAGCTTTGGAGGTACCGGTGTACCTGGCAAAATTGGTAAAGCTGCTGCTATTGTCAGAAACTGATTTTCCTCTGGAATACTTGTTCGAACAGTTGATTTTCCTTTTACATCAAATGATACTTTTCTTGTCTGAAGAAAGACATATTGCTTACACATTAATATCAATCGATGAAAATATAGGAATTACAATAATTCAACCATACATACATCCTATGATAAATGAACAGAAAAATAATTCCAATCGGGTATGTTGCCTCTATCAGGTACAAACGAATTTATTTGAAACAGCAGCTGTTTGGAACGATATATTTTAAAAGTATGGCTCTTACCCGCGTATTGTTACCCAATGGCATTACATAACCGAAGCACAGAAATGTAATCAACCCGTCAAAGTGATAAACAGTGTATCTTATACCAAACATTTGAGAGCATTTCACATCTTTGCAATGTACTTTAATTGTCGAACATTTCCGAAAGATTCTAGTTATACGTACGATCCAAAGCTATCGGTAAAGACAACATTTATTTCTTGTTTGTCATTGCGCATATGATCGCGGTAATAAGGAACGAGAAACGCTATTGCGCATAATGGCGCGTAAGGACTATTTTAAATTTACCCGGAAAACGAAGTGATCGATCATACCTCAGAAATGTCGAAAATAAATATCTTCGTACGTATTTATTTTTAATATACATCGAACAAATTATTATCAATATACTATAATATTCCATAACGCCAACAGACTCACCGTTGTAAAGGAAAAAGAGAGAAAGGCGTACTACTTAAATGATAACAATCCGTTCGACTTGTCATTGAGTTGTTCCACAACATCAATTTTTCGCGAAAGACGGTGGCGATTCGTAGTGGAACTTTAAAATAATTTCCTCATCGTTTGCGTCGATAAATCAAAGTCATAAAAAATATCGAGCAAATGACTGATCCCGTAAAAAGATCGAATGGAAGAATTAAATATAGTGATGGGAGAGTCGAGGGATATTATCCCACGACCAGGTTTTCGTGCGCATGCGTCTATTACGCGCGGCTACATCACGAGCCCCGACGGACTCCCGTGTTACTGACGAGGTAATATCAGAGAGAGAGGAACGTGAGAGAGCGGCCAACACCGACTTTCCGCACTGGGAAAGGGCGCCATCTACATCCATTTTGAGAGGAGAACTACGATGCTACATCCACTTTCAGGTTTCGGCGGTAAAACCTGCATGTAGTGGCAGTCCGTGCTACATCCATTTTTAGGCGGTTTATGTCCGTGCTACAACCATAATAGCGTACTTGACAAGCACGGTCTCGCACATTGTTACGCGTTTATAACATGAATTAACATGTTAACATGCGCAAAAAAGAAATAAGAATTGACATTGTGTATGATTAATATCATGAAGATCATACGAAGTGTCCGGTAATTAGCTGCCAATCCGAAGTGTGAGGGTAGATTGGGTTGAGACAAACATAAAAGTCCCATACCATTTTGCGAGATTCGCAATAATTATCGAGTTATTAATGACAGAAATCTGAGGAGTAAAAGCGCGCCGACATAGATGATTCGAAAAAGCGTTGCAGCTGCTCGGGGCAGCGATCATGAATCTTTTCCCTAGCGTAAACTAATAAAAAGTGAAAGACTTCTGTGAATCAGTGAAAAATGAAAAATTTTATATGAATTTGTAAAAATCGAAACATTTCACATGACAATTGAGTCGTTCAACATGGCAGTTGCGCGTTCTGGATAATTCAATGAATACCAAAGAAATTAAAATGATCAAAATAATAATGTCCGTGTAGTCCGAAGGATATTACGTGACACGCAAAATCCGTTTGATATAATATCCAAAGAAAATGTTTCAAAATGTATGTATAGGTAATATAAATGCACTTATGCACCGACGAGATATACTACAAAGACTGATAGCCTTACGGGATTTAGCGTACCAGAGAAATTTCCCTGGTGAGGCACCCGGGCGAAAGAGACCGTCTCGCATTTAGCGCAGTAAAATTTAATGGGAACTAATACTTTCCAATCCTTTTCTTCGGATCAAAAAGATTCAGAATTCAGACATATTCAAAATGTCAATACTTTTTAATACGTTTCAATTCGACATTTTATACAGGGAAGCAGGCAACGAAGGGAAAGGGATGCAGGCAACGATACATCATGCGTCTCCAGACGTGTCAAATCGTTTATTATAGAGGAGACTTTAATACGGCAACATGTATTCAAATATTTAATTGTCCCATGGACCACTTATATATAATAAAAACAAAATTAACGCGGATAAATGAACGATTCGTATCAAATTTTTCTTTTCTTATAGTACAATGAAAGAGTAAATCAGTATCGAAAATTGAATATTGATTAATACCATAAATCAGTGTCAGAAAATTGTCCAATGACAATTTGTCCTCATTTTTCAGGCAGTTACCACTGTAATTTACACAACAAATTAACTCGGTTAAACGAACGATTCGTACTAATTTTTCTCCTCTTATAAAAAAATGAGAGAATAAATCAGTACCGAAAATCGAAGGCCGATCAATACCTAATTCATTCATCAAATTAACGCGGATTAATGGACGATTCGTATTAATTTTCTGTTTTCTAATAGAGAAATGAAAGAGTAAGTCAGTAGCGAAAATCGTATATCGATTAATATCATAAATCAGTCAAAAAATTGCACACGTGCAATGACAATTTGTTCTTATTTTTCAGATACTTACCCCCCTAATTTACTCAACAAATTAACTCGGTTAAACGAACGATTCGTATCAATTTTTCTCTCCTTATAAAGAAATGAGAGAATAAATCAGTACCGAAAACCGAACACCGATCAATACCTAATTTTTTCATCAAATTAACGCGGATTAATGAACGGTTCATATTAATTTTTTGTTTTCTTATAGAGAAATGAAAGAGTAAATCAGTACCGAAAATCGAATATCGATTAATACCATAAACCAGTGTCAAAAAATTGCACACGTGCAATGACAATTTGTTCTTATTTTTCAGGTACATACCCCTCTAATCTTATTCAACAAATTAACTCAGATAAACGAAAGATTCGTATAAATTTTTCTTGTCTTATAAAAAAATAAGAAAATAAATCAGTACCGAAAATCGAAGACCGTCCAATATCTAATTTTTTCATCAAATTAACGCGGATAAGTGAACAATTCGTCCGAATTTTTTCTTTTCTTATAGAAAAATGAAAGGAGAAATCAGTACCGAAAATCGAATACCGATAAATATCGAATTTATTCATCAAATTAACGTGGATGCACAAACGATTTGTATCAATCTTTTTTTCTTTTATAGAGAAATCAAAGACTAAATCAGTACCGAAAACCGGATATTGATCAATAAATCAGCGTTAGACAATTGTCCAAGTGTAATGACAAGTTGTTTTCATCTTGCAGGTACTTACCCCACTAATTTACTCAACAAATAAACTCGAATAAACGGATGATTCGTATCAATCTTTCTTGTCTTAGAAAGAAATGAGAGAATTAGTCAGTACCGAAAATTGAAGACCGATTAATATTTAATTTATTCATCAAATTAACTCGGATAAATGAACGATTCGTATGAATTTCTTTTTCATATAGAAAAATGAAAGAGTAAATCAATACCGAAAATCGAATGTCGATTAATACCATAAATCAGTGTGAGAAAATTGTCCAAGTGCAATGACAATTTGTCCTCATTTTTCAGGTACTTACCCCTCTAATCTTATTCACCAAATTAACTTGGGTAAATGAACGATTCCTATCAAATTTTTTTGTCTTTTAAAAAAATGAGAAAATAAATCAGTACCGAAAACCGAATATCGATTAATACCATAAATCAGTGTCAGAAAATTATCCAAGTGCAATGACAATTTGTTCTCATTTTTCAGGTACTTATCCCACTAATTTACTCAACAAATTAAATCGGATAAAAGAACGATTCGTATCAATTTTTCTTCTCTTATAAAGAAATTATAGAATCAGTCAGTACCGAAAATTGAAGACTGATCAATATTTAATTTCTTCATCAAATTAACGTGGATTAATGAACGATTCGTATTAATTTTTTTTTCTTATAGAAAAATGGAAGAGTAAATCAGTACCGAAAATGAATATCGATCAACACCGTAAATCAGTGTCAGAAAATTGTCCAAATGCAATGACAATTTGTTCTTATTTTTCAGGTACTTACCCCTCTAATATTATTCAACAAATTAACTTGGGTAAACGAACGATTCCTATCAAATTTTTTTGTCTTTAAAAAAAATGAGAAAATAAATCAGTACCGAAAACCGAATACCGATTAATACCATAAATCAGTGACAGAAAATTGTCCAAGTGCAATGACAATTTGTTCTCATTTTTCAGGTACTTACCCCACTAATTTACTCAACAAATTAAGTCAGATAAAAGAACGATTCGTATTCAATTTTTATTCTGTTATAAAGAAATTAAAGAATCAGTCAGTACCGAAAATTGAAGACTGATCAATATTTAATTTATTCATCAAATTAACGCGGATAAATGAACGATTCGTATGAATTTTTTTTTTCTTATTGAGAAATGAAAGAGTAAATCAATACCGAAAATGAATATCGATTAATACCATAAATCAGTGTCAAAAAATTGTCTAATTGCAATGACAATTTGTTCTCATTTTTCAGGTACTTACCTCTCTAATTTTATTCAACAAATTAACTCGGATAAACGAACGATTCGTATCAATCTTTTTATCTTATAAAGCAATGAGAAAATAAATCAGTACCGAAAATCGATCACCGTTCAATATCTAATTTTTTCATCAAATTAACGCGGATAAAAGAACAATTTGCATCAATCTTTTATTCTTTTACAGAGAAATCAAAGACTAAATCAGTATCGAAAATCGGATATTGATTAATACTATAAATCAGCGTTAGAAAATTGTCTAAGTGCAATGACAAGTTGTTTTTATATTGCAGGTATTTACCCCACTAATTTACTCAACAAATTAATTCGGTTAAACGAACGATCCGTATCAATTTTTCTTTTCTTATAAAGTAATGACAGAATAAATCAGTACCGAAAACCGAAGACCGATCAGTACCTAATGTTTTCATCAAATTAACGCGGATAAATGAACGATTCGTATGAATTTTTTTTTCTTATAGAGAAATGAAAGAGTAAATCAGTACAGAAAATCGAATATCGATCAATATCGTAAATCAGTGTCAGAAAATTGTCCAAGTGCAATGACAATTTGTTTTCATTTTTCAGGTACTTACCCCTCTAATTTTATTCAACAAATTAACTCGGATAAACGAACGACTAGTATCAATTTTTTTGTCTTATAAAAAAATGAGAAAATAAATCAGTACCGAAAACCGAAGACTGATCAATATCATAAATCAATGTCAAGAAAATTGTCCAAGTGCAATGACAAGTTGTTTTCATCTTGCAGGTACTTACCCCACTAATTTATTCAACAAATTAAGTCGGATAAAAGAACGATTTGTATCAATTTTTATTCCGTTATAAAGAAATTAAAGAATCAGTCAGTACCGAAAATTGAAGACCGATCAATATTTAATTTATTCAGCAA